TCTTGGTTGAAGATAGGTTACAAACATTTTATCAAACATTTGTCCAAGTTCACACAGACAGGTCCTAAAACAACCAGTTTTACTCTCAGTGTAGCAGCTTTACAGGTTTCAGAACTGGTAGTTCTGTGTAAAATCAGACGTTGAGCACCCCCACATCGCCAAAATGGCATGATCCTTGTTTCGCTGTGAAGCTTCGATGTGAGATTGACAGTCGAATTAGGCTCCGCCCATCGAAGCATCAAATCTTTGACTGTTGTGCACAACAGTCAAAGATTTTAAAATAAAAGATAAACGTGGACCCCTGCTCACAGAGGGAGTAAAGGAAATGAAAGTGTGGATGCATTAGCAACACAGGGTGTGAAGCATGAGGAGATCATGGGAGGACCTCTCAGTAAACCTGAAGCCAGAGGAACAATCAGTAGAAAGGTGAGCGGCAGCACACCTTCAGATCTGCTGTTTCTCCAGCGTTACCTATCAGCTCAACAAATGTTCCAGCAGATCTTCTGTAGTGCTCACTTAAAACTCTGAGAGCGTCCTCACGGCTGCTGCTTTAAAATCTGTTTGTGAGAAATCTACATTTTTGCCGTTTGAAACTCAAACTGACCGAAGGACTCTGGATGGTTCTGTACACAGCCGGCAGCAGAGAGCTTTCCTCTCTGTGTTTGTGGTCTGAAGGTCGAGTCCAGGTCAGTCTGACCCGGTCAGTCCTGTGTGCCAGGACTGCAGCTCCGTGTCTCCACTAATGAAGCTTTTTAATGAGGCAGCCGGTTTGTGACGAGGTCGCTCTCAGTGATCAGTGATGTCATCAGGTTGGAGCAGACAGGTGGAGGCTTGAGTCTCAGGAGACACGAGAGGAAACACAAAGTCTGAAAAGCTCATATTTAAATCCTGATGAATCTAAATCAGGTCACGTGACCCCCACAGGGTCACAGCCCGTCCCAGGCATATGAATAAGATCCATTCATCAAGAATAAAAACAACAGATTTAATCTCAGTTTTTACAGTTTTTACCCATTGCTTGAACACTATAGACACATGCTTAAACCAAAGTAACTTGAAGTTGAATACCTTTAACAAAGTGTAACCATACCTTAAACAAAAGCGCTGCTTTGTACTTTAGTTGCAAGTCTTCTATTTCATATAGAAGACACTTCTCAGGGTACCATTGGGAATACACATCTATTCAAAATACAACACACATTGATTAATTGAAAATATGCAGACATACACCTGAAAATACTTACTTACAAAACTGAACACCAATCAGCCAGCTACAAAAAGGCCCCAGTTAAGCCATTTTGAGAGCTTTGCAAGCATGGAGGCAGGGAGAGCTGGAGGCAAAGGAAGACAGGACCATAATTTCGGATGACATAAGAGCAAGTTTGGTGGACCATGTCAGAAACCATAGCCCGACTGTGAGGGAAGCTGGGCAGAGAGTCCAGCCTAATCTAAGCCTTTTCACAGTTTCTTCCACAATAAGGACATTCCGACTGGAAAACAGGTATGTCTTCAACTCTCTGCTCTACTCAGACTGTATCCAGAGTATTTACAGTACTGTACATCATCACGTTACTGTATCACATGTACTGTATTGCAGGGTGGCTAATGCTCCTTTTCCAACAAAAGTGTGGTTTTGTGAAACATACCATGATAACGTGTTGAGATGTTTCAGTTCTGTGTATGGTAAATACAGTAAAGTACAGTATATACAGTTCTGTAAAAAGAAGGAAACAAGAACAATTTGTGGTTGCAATTTTCTACAGAATGGCTAGAAGACCTACTGGAGGAGGACGCCAACTCCTGTTCACCCAACAGAAAGAACTTGCCATAGTGAACCTAGTTAGAGCAAACACTGCAATCCATCTCCACCAGCTACAGCTACAAATACTCGCAGATAGGCAAGTATTCAACAACATAAATCGAGTAAGCGTTACCACTATCAGACGCATCTTGGTAAAGCACAGCGTCACCAAGAAGCAATTGTACAGGGTCCCATTTGAGAGGAACAGTGTCAGGGTCAAAGAACTTCAACATGAATATGTACAGTGTCACAGTCCTCTACATTTACAATCCAGAATGGGTGCAGTCCAGTGACAGATGAATATGTACCACTGGATCAGTACCACATAAATGCATTCAGAACGCTACACAGGTACCTGTGTGGTGGGGTGGGGCAGTTCTGTTTGTGTAGTAGTGTAGGTGTGTGCTTTGGTAATCTTGGACATGGATGGAGCTGCCCAGCCGCATGAATGTATTTACACTGACGAGGCTGGATTCAACCTTAGCAAAAACGAACAACGGGGACTTAATATAATTGGCCAAAGGGCAATTGTGCATGTCCCAAAGTAGTGCGGACGCACTGACAGAGACAGTTTCAGGGTCAGCGTCTGGTTTGCAGCGGACAAACTAAACCCTTGTTTGACACTTTAAGACTTTAAACGTAGATATTCACATCCGTAACCTTTCTTCTGTCTGCGGCGTCTTCACGTTCAGCGAACATGGAAGCCCATTGGTCAGTCACGTACAAGCTGATGAGCTGTAAATACAATAACCGGTTCTAACCCGTTTAACATGTCTGAGTCCAACTTCACACCGTGAATGCTGTTCAGTGTTTAGTGCCGTTGGGACAGTGCGAGGAGAGGCCTGACCTTGACCCTGCATATCTGAACCAGCTGACCTTGATTCTTTCCTGCAGCTGAGCGGGATGCAGCAGCCTGTGTCTCACTGTCTCTCTGACGTCCTCCATGTGTTTCTGACATTCTCTCTCAAAGTGTCTGTCAGGAGCCGATCTCCTTTATGTTCGACTACAACACTGCACGTTCTGCAGAACAGCTTCCCTGCTTTGGTGAAGAAGATCTGGATCCTGGTCTTCATGGGACTTTGCTGTTATTTCTGTAGGTAAATGTGAGACAGACACGGCTGTGTGTGTGTGTAATAGTGTGTCTGTGTGTGTGTGTAATAGTGTGTGTGTGAGTGTGTTCTGTAGGTGGGTTCCCCCTCCGTCTTGGCGTTCCTCCATCCTGACTCTGTTATGTAACCTGTAGGCCGACCACATCTTCCTTCTCTGCATCGAGGTAAACTCAGGCTCTGGTTTGTGGTCTGATTCCCCCCCCCCCCTCCCACCGAGGGCCCCTGTGGGACCCACATCTGTCAGCTGACTCAGGGGCGTCTGCAGCCAAAAGTTTAGAGCAGAACAAACTGTGGATTCCTGCATGTTTCTCATTGGGAGATCAGCGGGGGAGGTTCCATTTCAGAAAACAGAAAATCAGCTGAAGTTCAGTCCGACCCAGGAGCAGGTTTTATAAAACCTTTAGAGGACCAGCAACAGCACCAGCTACAGTGTATACACTGAGTCTGGATCAGGCCTCCATGAGGCTCCAGCTTCAGCAGAGACAGAACCAAAGGTCAGACATGACTACAGAGACCTGAAGAGCTCAGATCATCTGGTCTCTCCAGCACCGTCTCACAGGTGTGAATCTGAGATCAGGTGACTGTAAATCATGTTGCTCCTCGCCAGACCGCTCAGGGACACCGAGCTCCTGATGCTCCTCCTCCTCCTTCACCTGTTTGTTACCCACTTGAGAAGAGGTGGGGACATCAGGGCTCAGATGAAAACACTTTACGTTTTCAGAATAAATGATTTTAGGAACTATAACGGGGGCCAGTATGAGGCCGTAAGGCGGGTCAGGAGAAGTTTTACAACACGGTGCATTAGAGGGCGCAGCGCAGGCTGTAACATCCATCACACCCGCACCTACAACACCAGGTCAGTCCAACATCTCCGGTACAGAAAGAGCCAGGTCAGGCAAGTCCACGATAACATCAGGTCCAACATCACTGCTGTCAACACAGAAACAACTTGTTAACGTTCACGCTGTGAGCTAAACTAACCTGCAGATGTTAAACTGCCTCGTTAGAGAAACAAGACGTCACCAACAGAAACTGGAACAACTAAAGTTCCTGATCAGTGCAGGTTTTTGGGTCACTTGTTTTGTAGCTTAAGTTCCTTTTTTTGGACATGTAGTTTCTATATTTGAAATGCACTGCAGGTTTTCTTATTGTGCAAATAAACCTCTCTCCGAGCATTTCGTTTACATGTCTTGGTGCTGTTGTTCAGAACATTTGTAACAAATGATGCTTTTTAAAAGTGATGCTGGGGACCGGAGTACTCATGTCTCCACTGTCCCCAGGGTAAATGACACCTGTGGTCCCCCCACCAGCCTTCGTGCAGCTGCTGCCCCCTGCTGGACGCAGCACGCTCACACAGTCTGTGGCTGCATCAACATCAGTTTTTTTTTTTTAATCAAAACAACATCTTCTCTCTACAGACAAATAACAAATAAGCCAGTGAGGTCAAGAAGAAAATATAATCTAAACAAAGGCAAAAGAAATGTTTTATTAATAAATATCTGGTAAAGCTTACAGAGGTCACATGATTTAACAGCTTTTTTGTTTGTACACTCAGATATTGAAAGAATATACTGCTTAATGTTACCAGCAAGCTCCAGAAAGCTTGGCTTCTTTTTTAAGAATTGTGACTTGTGCAAATAAAATTTGGTTAAAATAATAAGCAAATGTATCACATAATACTCTTCTTTGTCATTTTTTGTGAATGCAAACTATACATTTTCCCACCGCAATGCAAATTGAGGGTAAATATGGACAACAATAAATTGTGACACAAGTTTCTTGGTATGGGGCAAGACCAAAATAAATGCACCAGCGTTTTGTTTAGTTCTCCTCAGACTCCTCATTCTTACTTTTAGGTTGCAGCGAAAAACAGACATTCCCAATAGTTTTCTTTTCACGTCCACCCGTGTAGGGGATCAAACCCTTAAAACACATCAGTTTATGTCCACAGCCACGCGATTTGCTTTATTCAATGAACTGTATGAATTGAACTGTTCTTTTGTCATTTATTTGAAGCTTTGGCAATATGGTTATTTTGGCATTCATGCTGAATTGAAGTGGGCGGAGCCATCAGCTCTACCGACCAATAACAGCGGACCTGGAGCGTTACCTAGGAGACGGTGTACAGAGCGGAGGGAGGCAGCAGCAGGCTAACATGCTAACGTGCTAACTAGTCGGTTACCGGACAGCTGAATCACCGTGTTACATATTTCAAATCACCGTGTTACATATTTCAAATCACCGTGGACGTTAAAAGGCCCGGTGTCACCGTCTGCCGCCGTTAGCCAGCTAGCATGGCGGCAGCGGCGTCCAGCTAACGAGGCGAGATTAGCGGTTAGCACGCTAACCAGTCACCGAAGCTAACGTGCTAACATAAACAGTGTCCGATAATACACGCCTGTACCGGTTAGCACCGAGCTAACAGCCGGGATGGATGTGAGCTAACAGACCGTGGTGGTCTGACCCGGATCTGAGCTGCTTCTCTGGACGGAACCGAGCCGAGGGGTTCATCCCAGCGACAGCCTGGTCCTCCCGGGCCGGGGAACGGTCAGACCCGGACTCTAGAGGAAATGCAGCGGACCGGAGGACGGATCCACATCCCGAGTCCCGTTAGCCGTTTATGAACAGGTGAGCTGCCTCTCGTACCTGAATCGCTCAGGTGCTGCCAAACTGGAACACATACTCTCGTTTATTGATCTTTCAATGAAACAAACGTGACCGTCAGAGCTGCAGCTGACGGTCACTTCATCACGGATTCATGTGCTGATCATTCCCCTGATGAATCGATCCACCGTTTGATCTGTAAAATTGAACGCACCTGCAGCAGCTAATCGATATGATCATGCACTCAGTGATCGATTTATTGGTCTGTGGAATAACAGTGTCATGTCAGTAAGTGTCGATCACTTCCCCACAGAAGAAGTTCGAGCTGCAACCGTTTAATCAGCAGCAGATCAATCAAAGGATTCATTGATTATGTTTGTTCATCTGAAGATCAATGATTTGATTAGTTGTGTTTAAAGATCATCAGCTGCTGTTAGCTGTTACACACCTGGACAGGTGTGCAGTGATCCTGCTGCAGCTGATCTGCTGGTCATGTGATGCAGACTGTCATCTCTGAGTCTTTGCTGTTGAATCTGTGTGCAGGATGGACGTGTGCAGTAGGAACCCGAACCGCACGGCGCCGGTCGGCGAGGACGGCCCGCACCGAGCCGACGCGCCGCTCTGCTCTCGGACTAACGGCTGGAGCTGGCCCCCCCATCCCTTCCAGCTGCTGGCCTGGTTGCTCTATGTCTACTTCGCCGTCACCGGCTTCGGCGTGTTCGTTCCCCTTCTGCCCGCCCACTGGATCCCTGCAGGCTATATCGTATCCTTACACCCGGTGTTCAGGGCCGCTACGGGGCAGCGTCAGGGCCACTACAGGGGAGGTCAGGGCCGCTACGGGGCAGCGTCAGGGCCACTACAGGGCAGCGTCAGGGCCGCTACGGGGCAGCGTCAGGGCCACTACAGGGGAGGTCAGGGCCGCTACGGGGCAGCGTCAGGGCCACTACAGGGGAGGTCAGGGCCACTACGGGGCAGCGTCAGGGCCACTACAGGGGAGGTCAGGGCCACTACAGGGCAGCGTCAGGGCCACTACAGGGCAGCGTCAGGGCCACTACAGGGCAGCGTCAGGGCCACTACAGGGCAGCGTCAGGGCCACTACAGGGGAGGTCAGGGCCGCTAGAGGGTAGTGTGAGGGCCACCACGGGGGAGGTCAGGGCCACTACAGGGGAGGTCAGGGCCACTACAGGGTAGTGTGAGGGCCACCACGGGGGAGGTCAGGGCCACTACAGGGCAGCGTCAGGACCACTACAGGGCAGCGTCAGGGCCATGAAACAGGAAGTAGTTTTTTAGGACTTGAGGGTCCCTGTAATGAGGAACTAGTGGAACAGTAACGTCCCCATCTTCGTGTGTGAGTCCTGAGCTGTGCTTCAGTGTACGGGCGTCCTGTTCGTCTGTCACCTGTGTGTCCACGTGATGGCCGTCTCCGTCGACCCCGCCGACTACAACGTCCGAACGAAGAGCGACAGAAGTCCAGTCCCCGCGTTCGACCGCACTAAGCACGCCCACGTCATCGAGAACTGCCACTGCTACCTCTGCCAGGTCGACGTGTGAGTAACACACTAACTGAACTCTCACAGGTGAGCTCATGATCAACATCCAGGCATCCAGGAGAGCTGCTGCACCTGAGCAGGTGACGTCATCTCCCAGCTGGAGGGCTCTCAGTGGAGGACCGAGTGTCTCTGCAGGCTGCAGCGCCTCACTATTTATACACACACACACACGGCGCCCGAGCCACAGCTCATCACTTAAACTCTCAGGAGTGCGACCACGTTGGCGAGCATGTTGTACGTTTCACGGCTGTGCGGGCGGAGTGAGATATTCGGTTAGAAAAAGTTAAAAAGCTACATCCGGTCAGTCTTTGTGAGCAAGGAGGAGCTAAATGTGCTTAAATTGTAAAACACAGAATTCAGAAAAAAACAATACCGCAGAATCTGGCGTAAAACAGATCACACGGGGCCCTTCATGGTCTCATCGCTCAGGATGTGAATGTGGTATAACTGTAGCTGTAAAAGAGATCCTAGGGGACACACTGGATGAGCCCGTGGCTGCGGTTGAAAAGTGAAAAACACGTCTTCTCCTCGCCACTTTTCCTCGACCTCGATGGAAAACGTCATGAAGTCACAGAAAGAAGGTTAATTCAGACTCAGTATGCAGTGTGGTGAAAAATATTACTTCATTACAGGTTACAAAAAGTCAAAAGTGTGACTGAGCAAACGCTCGCTCTCACTCCTGCCCATGTTTATCTACATGATTCCAGTTATTGTGTATAAATAATACTTTTGTGTTACTGAGGAGGCGGGCCACTCACAGACTCCTCTTTCCCCATAATCCTTCACCCATACAGCCCACTGAGCTCACACTTGGTGTCTCAACAGAAGAAGTTAATATTCCTGTTAACCTGGTGTGACTAAGGTTAGCATTTAGGCTAAGCACTGTGGAATGAACATAAACCCCTGCAGCAGAGGGAAGAGGAGAGACACATTAGTGTGAAGTGATTGTCTGCTGAACACGTAGACGTGTAGAGTCACATGTTTAATGCAGCAGTTCCTCTACACGCTGTGAATAATGAAAGTGCTCTCTGAAGCACTCTGAGCTGCACGTAAAGCCTCAGAAAACCAGGTCAGTGGGCTGGGTTCTCCCAGGAGGCCCTGAGAGATCTGGGTCAGAGGAATGGTCCACGGTCCAGGAGAGGGGCACAAAACATCCTCAGGCTGCTGCAAAGAAATCAGACTTTTTATTTTATTTGTGTTTAGACCATAAAGATTTCTTTTTTGTAAATTACTATTTAAATGATTCTGTTACAGGATCAGTCATGGATCAGGTTCTCTGTGGACAGGAACTGAGGCAAATCCATAGTTGTGTGTCCGGCGATTATCACCAAAATGTTTTATTATTATATATTTAATGATAATTAAAAATATATCAGATCTGTGTATCTTTTCATCAGTTGGATGTGACTTCCTCAGATCTGTGGAACAGACGGGGCTAAAAACCTGACTGTCCCTGAACTCACCATATGATGCCTGTGTTTGTGTCTTGTGCTGTTTCAGCGGTCCGAAGTCCAAACACTGCAGTGCCTGTAACAAGGTGTTGCCAACTTTGACCATCACTGTCGGTGGCTCAACAACTGTGTGGGGAGCAGGAATTACAAGTGAGTCTGTCTCTCCTTCTGTGGTTCTGGCCTCCAGGGCCCAGGAGGCGTCGTCAAGACCCAATAATAAGAAGAAGAATCAAAGCCAACAACACTTAATATAGTAATAATAAGAAATACTGTGTAAGCCTCACTGGTTCCTGATAACTGAAGCTAGGAGATCATGTTCACAGCACGCTGGGGAATGGTGGTGGTGTTGTCTAAAAATACAGATTTATTTATTTTTAACCTGAGAAACGTGGTTGAAACAATTTTTCTCTTTTAGCCCTGAGTAGCGTCTGCAGGGATTCCTCACAGGATGGACCTTCCCCATAAGGTCGGCCTGTGTGGAACCTGAGAGGCGATGCCCAGGGCAGAAACGGTGTCTGAGCACCGAGGCTCAGATGAGTTTAACATTTGGTCAATTCAGAACTTTAAATCTGGATTTTGGTGGTTGTTCAGTCATGTTGTAATCTCATATTAATTGTAGTATTTATACATTAATATTAAAGGTGGAGGAGGTTGATAGGATATTAAATCAAGGGCAGGTTCCCATTTTCTCCATGACACCTCCCGCATTCTGATGATCCATAAATAAATCTAAACTATGTTTCCTGGAGTGGTCCAGTCTTTGTCTGTGTCCTCAGAGATACACACCTGTAAAATATAATGTTGATTCTGTGTTGCAGTAGTACTGCGTGTAATCAGTAGTACTATTTGTGCTCAATAGTACTGCATGTCATCAGTCGTGCTGCGTGTCATCAGTAGTGCTGTCCTGACTGTGTACCTGCAGGTTGTTCCTCCACAGCGTGATCTCGGCTCTGTTGGGGGTCTGTCTGGTTCTGGTCGTTGCCTCCTACGTCTTCATTGAGTTCTTTCTGGACCCGTCCAAACTCCGCACTGACAAACACTTCCTGGGTAAGACCTGACAGGTGTGCATGTCTGACCTGTGTCTCTCTCCTGCAGTGAGGAAGAGACAGGTGTGCATGTCTGACCTGCGTCTCTCTCCTGCAGTGAGGAACGAGACAGGTGTGTGGTTCGTCTTCCTGCCGGTGGCTCCCCTCAGGTCAGCAGCAGCAGTGATTCCGGTTCTGGCAGCTGTCACCATCGCTCTGGGTCTGCTGTCGTCTGTGCTGCTCTGTCACCTGCTCTGCTTCCACGTCTACCTGAGTAAGAAACAACAAACACACCTTATTTCCTTTCACATACAGTGGGTACGGAAAGTATTCAGACCCCTTTAAATTTTTCACTCTTTGTTTCATTGCAGCCATTTTCCAAAAATCAAAAAAGTTAATTTTATTTCTCAGTAATGTACACTCAGCACCCCATCTTGACAGAAAAAAACAGAAATGTAGAAATTTTTGCAAATTTATTAAAAAAGAAAAACTGAAATATCACATGGTCATAAGTATTCAGACCCTTTGCTCAGTATTTAGTAGAAGCACCCTTTTGATCTAATACAGCCATGAGTCGTTTTGGGAAAGATGCAACAAGTTTTTCACATCTGGATTTGGGTATCCTCTGCCATTCCTCCTTGCAGATCCTCTCCAGTTCTGTCAGGTTGGATGGTAAACGTTGGTGGACAGCCATTTTCAGGTCTCTCCAGAGATGCTCAATTAGGTTTAAGTCAGGGCTCTGGCTGGGCCATTCAAGAACAGCCACGGAGTTGTTGTGAAGCCACTCCTTCGTTATTTTAGCGGTGTGCTTAGGGTCATTGTCTTGTTGGAAGGTAAACCTTCGGCCCAGTCTGAGGTCCAGAGCACTCTGGAAAAGGTTTTCGTCCAGGATATCCCTGTACTTGGCCGCATTCATCTTTCCCTCGATTGCAACCAGTCATCCTGTCCCTGCAGCTGAAAAACACCCCCACAGCATGATGCTGCCACCACCATGCTTCACTGTTGAGACTGTATTGGACAGGTGATGAGCAGTGCCTGGTTTTCTCCACACATACCGCTTAGAATTAAGGCCAAAAAGTTCTATCTTGGTCTCATCAGACCAGAGGATCTTATTTATCACCATCTTGGAGTCCTTCAGGTGTTTTTTAGCAAACTCCATGCGGGCTTTCATGTGTCTTGCACTGAGGAGAGGCTTCCGTCGGGCCACTCTGCCATAAAGCCCCGACTGGTGGATTGCTGCAGTGATGGCTGACTTACTACAACTTTCTCCCATCTCCCGACTGCATCTCTGGAGCTCAGCCACAGTGACCTTTGGGTTCTTCTTTACCTCTGTCACCAAGGCTCTTCTCCCCCGATAGCTCAGTTTGGCCGGACGGCCAGCTCTAGGAAGGGTTCTGGTCGTCCCAAACATCTTCCATTTGAGGATTATGGAGGCCACTGTGCTCTTAGGAACCTTAAGTGCAGCAGAACTTTTTTTTGTAACCTTGGCCAGATCTGTGCCTTGCCACAATTCTGTCTCTGAGCTCTTCAGGCAGTTCCTTTGACCTCATGATTCTCATTTGCTCTGACATGCACTGTGAGCTGTAAGGTCTTATATAGACAGGTGTGTGGCTTTCCTAATCAAGTCCAATCAGTATAATCAAACACAGCTGGACTCAAATGAAGGTGTAGAACCATCTCAAGGATGATCAGAAGAAATAGACAGCACCTGAGTTAAATATGAGTGTCACGGCAAAGGGTCTGAATACTTATGACCATGTGATATTTCAGTTTTTCTTTTTAATAAATTTGCAAAAATTTCTACATTTCTGTTTTTTTCTGTCAAGATGGGGTGCTGAGTGTACATTACTGAGAAATAAATTAACTTTTTTGATTTTGGAAAATGGCTGCAATGAAACAAAGAGTGAAAAATTTAAAGGGGTCTGAATACTTTCCGTACCCACTGTATTTACACAACAAACAAGAATGCTAAACAGATTTAAAAACCCATCTGTAAATGTCTCGCTGTAAGAAACTGTGTGTAAAATGATGAAACTGCCTTGAAGGGCGAGGAAAATGACTCGGTGGACAGGAAACATTTAATTTTGAGAAACCGGCTGTTAAAGATTATCTAACACAATAGAAACAACACTTAGCATAAACATGACTGTTTGTCACATGAACACATCTCTTATATCTGATATATGGACTAGCCATACATTGTGCTTTAGAAAATAAATGAATGATATATGATTAAATATATAATATATAAATAATGTAATTGTTCCAGTTTCCCAGTGCAGTGTTTGTGCAGCACGATATTTTTCCCAAAAAAAGAAAAAAAAAAAAAAACTTAAAAACATTACAAAACATATTTTGATGCGGCAATCTTTGAAACAAGACAGTAGGTGGAGGTAGAGGGACTGAATGTGTAAACAACTAAACATTACTGTGTGTTTGTGTGCAGTGTGGAACAGACTTAGTACCTATGAATATATAGTGCGCCAGCGTCACCGTCAGGACCGCAGAGACTCAAGGAAACCAGGATCAGTGAAGGAGACAGCGGCTCCATCGGTCAACCTTGTCAAGGTATGTCTATCTTTCTATGGGTCTATCTGTCTGACCATCATGCAGGCGAAGCTCCTGGGCCAGGGGGTGGTAATGTTACTCTTCTTTTTGAGGGCACAGACGGTATAAAGGAAGTGGGTGTAGCCACTGTGACGTCACCTGTTGGTTTGTGGACCGCTGTTTTCAAGCCTCCAGTTTGGCATTTGACCATATTTGGATGTGAGGGCGGAGCTAGCTAGCGTTACGTTAACTGTGATATTAGCTGGGATGCTAATTTTGGCTAGCAACAAACGGACTTAAAACAAAACGTACTTCCTGAAAAATTACCAGCCGACTCCTGATGAGCTTTTTCAGCGGCGCTGGTTAAATGTACACAGAGCAGCAGATACAAGTCGCCTCTATCCTTATTGACAGGTCGCCATGGTAGCAACTTGTCAATCAGCTTGTAGCCCCGCCCTAAAGTCTGGTTTCTGATCTATGTTCCTCTAAATGGGACCATAATTTACTAAATGAACATCATGCTGTGTTGAAGAAGACTTGAAACTAGTGACTGAGACCATAAACTCATCAGGAAAGTGTTTACTGAGGGAATAAATCAGCTGACAAGTAGAATCATTTCCTCATAGCCTCTAAACATGAGGCGCACCGAGCGTCTAAAATATCAGATGCACTGAGCGTCTAAAACCACCGAGCATCTAAAACATGAGGTGCACTGAGCATCTAAACAAGAGGCGCACCGAGCATCTAAACATGAGGCGCACTGAGCGTCTAAACAAGAGGCGCACCGAGCATCTAAAACATGAGGTGCACCGAGCGTCTAAACAAGAGGCGCACCGAGCGTCTAAAACATGAGGTGCACCGAGCGTCTAAAACCACTGAGCATTTAAAACAAGAGGCGCACCGAGCATCTAAACAAGAGGCGCACTGAGCATCTAAAACATGAGGTGCACCGAGCATCTAAAACCACCGAGTGTCTAAAACATGAGGTGCACCGAGTGTCTAAACATGAGGTGCACTGAGCGTCTAAAACCACTGAGCATTTAAAACAAGAGGCGCACCGAGCGTCTAAACAAGAGGCGCACCGAGCATCTAAACAAGAGGCGCACTGAGCATCTAAAACCACCGAGTGTCTAAAACATGAGGTGCACCGAGCGTCTAAACAAGAGGTGCACCGAGCGTCTAAACATGAGGTGCACTGAGCGTCTAAAACCACTGAGCATTTAAAACAAGAGGCGCACCGAGCATCTAAACAAGAGGCACACCGAGCATCTAAAACCACAGATCCTCTAAACATGTGGTGCACCGAGCATCTAAAACGACCGAGCGTCTAAACAAGAGGTGCACCGAGCGTCTAAACATGAGGTGCACTGAGCGTCTAAACATGAGGTGCACTGAGCGTCTAAACATGAGGTGCACCGAGCATCTAAAACCACCGAATGTCTAAAACCAGAGATGCACAGGGCGCGTTAGCAGCGTGCAGAACATTCACTGCAGTAGAAAACAAGTGGAAAAAGACGCCTCTTATTGCAAAAAAGCGCAGACCAAAGAGCCTAGATAGACAACATGTTCGCGGACAGGAAATATGTATTCAGCTCAGTTGTGCGGTTTAGTTTGAGTGCCACTGTGGACTGTGATATTAAATGAGCAGATTACTGTTATTACATTATTACTTAATAACAGGAGAAAATGTTCTCATATCTATGATAACGTCTGTGGTGAGCGTCTCTCAGCTGATCTCCTGTCTTCTTCTCCCGCTGATCACATCGTTTCCAACCTGAATGAATCTTTCTGAAGCAGCAGAGACGTTTGAAGCTTCGGCATCGTCTTCGTCTGCTTTTCTTCATCTGAGTACTGAAACAGTCCCTTCACAGGAGCTGCGGCTTCATCTGTCGTGTCTATAAGTCAGGCATTTTTATTTACACAGTCCAAAGTCACAAATCACATGACTGTCTGAGCCCTCTGTCATTAACAGTTGGGCTGTAATTATTACTGGCCATGATAACTGAACCACATCCGAGCTCTGGACAAACAGAACACAGAAATCCAGACTGAATGCAGCTTGTGTCACCATCAGCCTCTTTATTCACAGCGCAGTATATTCAGACTCACTTAACATGAATGAATTCTGAAAAAGTAGAACTAATAACACGTCTGCCTGCGTCTGATAAAGGCAGCTCACACTCTGTTTATCAAACTGTCCTCTGCTGTCCCCCCTCAGGACGTGAACTACTCAGGGACTCTGGGTTACACCAACCCTCAGCTGGACATGCAGGAACCTACCACTGTGGCTGTGCGGGGAGAGGCAGAGTAAGTCTTTGCTTGGTCCTGATGGTCTGATCCTGTTTACGCACCTCATTAAAAGTTAATTAAACCCAGCGTTCTGTGGTGGTCCAGGTCCAGCCCACGGCCTGCTGTGATTGGCTGAGGCTGACCGGGTCCTGTTTCAGTAAACAGCCTACTACAGTCAGTTCATAACACAGAGGCCGGACCTGGGTCTCCATGGACACGGTTTTCTTTGCAGAAAACAGAGTGTGCAGAGTGAAATTCTTTGGCCGTGACTTCCAGGAAGCAAACAAAGTGTGTGTGTATGAGTTGAGGGAGGGAGGGAGGGAGGGAGGGAGGGAGTGTGTGTGTGTGTGTGTGTGTGTGTGTGCGCGAGTCCAACAGAACAGTCTTCAGAAATAACTCACCGAACCTCCTCTGCTGCTGACAGATGGAGCTTTACTAGACTGCGGGGGTGAGGGGGCAGCAAGACAATAAGATAACAAAACAATAAGACAGCAAGGCAATAAGACAATACAATAAGACAGCAAGGCAATAAGACAAGACAATAAGACAACAATACAATAAGACAGCAAGGCAATAAGACGACAATAAGACAACAATACAATAAGACAACAATACAATAAGACAACAATACAATAAGACAAGACAATAAGACAACAATACAATAAGACAACAATACAATAAGACAGCAAGGCAATAAGACAAGACAATAAGACAAAAATACAATAAGACAGCAAGGCAATAAGACAGCAATACAATAAGACAACAATACAATAAGACAGCAAGGCAATAAGACAAGGCAATAAGACAAAAATACAATAAGACAGCAAGGCAATAAGACAGCAAGGCAATAAGACAGCAAGGCAATAAGACAACAATACAATAAGACAGCAAGGCAATAAGACAACAATACAATAAGACAGCAAGGCAATAAGACAAGACAATAAGACGACAATACAATAAGACAGCAAGGCAATAAGACAAGACAATAAGACGACAATACAATAAGACAGCAAGGCAATAAGACAAGAATACAATAAGACAGCAAGGCAATAAGACAGCAAGGCAATAAGACGACAATAAGACAACAATACAATAAGACAACAATACAATAAGACAGCAAGGCAATAAGACAAGGCAATAAGACAAAAATACAATAAGACAGCAAGGCAATAAGACGAGGCAATAAGACAGCAAGGCAATAAGACAACAATACAATAAGACAGCAAGGCAATAAGACAACAATACAATAAGACAGCAAGGCAATAAGACAACAATACAATAAGACAGCAAGGCAATAAGACAAGACAATAAGACAACAATACAATAAGACAAGACAATAAGACGACAATACAATAAGACAGCAAGGCAATAAGACAAGACAATAAGACAACAATACAATAAGACAAGGCAATAAGACAACAATACAATAAGACAGCAAGGCAATAAGACAAGACAATAAGACAAAAGACAAAAATAAGATAAAGTAGTTCCCTGAGCGTTTTCCCATCAGACTAAATGGCAACATGACAAACTGCGACTTTTGTTGACTCGCAAAATAATCTTTTAAATTTCACAGACGTGAGTGGCACAATAAAAAAAATAAAATAAAAATGTTGCTACGTTCAGCATGCTTGTGCTAATTTGTGTGTCACTTATTTGTTTATTATATTTACTTTGCAGCTGCAACAATCAGAAGAATTTTCGCTTTAATTAATCAATGAAGTGACATAATAATGATTAGTGTTCAATCAGAGCTGCTTTCCATGCAGTCACACCAGAAATCTGTGTGTGTGTGTGTGTGTGTGTGTCAGGTTCCAGGCTAACGGCCGAGCGAGGACTGTGTCCACTCCTGTCATGGAGGAAGAATCTCCACCCACGGTGTCTACAGAGCCAAAAGCAGCAGCACACACACACCGACGCACACAGGTAAACACACAGACACACCGACGCACACAGGTAAACACACACACACACACACACACAGACACACCGACATACCGACGCACACAGGTAAACACACACACACACACACATACAGACACACCGACGCACACACCTAAACACACACACACACAGACACACCGACGCACACAGGTAAACACACAGACACACCGACGCACACAGGTAAACACACACACACACACACACAGACACACCGACGCACACACACACACACACCCACACACACAGACACACCGACACACCGACGCACACAGGTAAACACACACACACACACACACACACACACACACCGACACACCGACACACACACACACACACACACACACACACACACACACACACACACACCGACACACACACACACACACACACACCCACACACACACACACACACACACACACCCACACACACACACACACACACACCGACACACACACACACACCGACACACACACAGGTACACACACACACACACACACACACCGACACACACAGGTACACACACACACACACACCGACACACACAGGTACACACACACACACACACCGACGCACACAGGTAAACAGTGCAGTAGTACACAGTGAGACCGATCTCATCCGGTTTGTGTTTTTGTTCTTTCACAGAAAAAGAAGGTCCGTAAAGTTCCAGCAGCGGTGACCAGAGAACGCTGCCCGAGCACAGCCCCGCCCCCCGGTACGCACCTTTTCTATACTTCTGAGGCCCTCAGTGAACCCCTGGCCTCGAGCCTCAGCCTAACCGCTTCTGATAATGATACTGGAACAAGGGCCCCTTTTAGTCTTTACATGTCACATTCACACACTGTGGCTGCCATGCAAGGGGCCAACACAGCCAGCAGGTTAGAGGACATGGAAACAAAGGTGGCGAGTCTCACAGGAACAGAAACAGCTGGGAACAGATGGGGCTTTGGATGCATCATCATCATCATCATCATAACGTGCAGAGAGAGAAAAGATGATGTTTCCTCTCCCCTTTGTTATTCCAACCCATTCTCACTACAAAGCCGTCATATAGACACATGGGCAACACCCGCTGGCATCAGTTTGTAACCGGATTTTCACACAGGACAAGGGTGTTTGTTTCCCATGTTTTTAACTCAAACCATGATGTTTTCCTAAACCTGACCAAGTGGTTTTGGTGCCAAAGTCTAGCCATATTGCAGTTTCGCAACTAGTTTTATTTTGAAAGTCTAACCGGACGTTGCATATGTAATGTTGCTAACATGACTGCGGAGCACCATACGTGCATAAACACTAAAGGGTACCCAGGGCGTTAAAGTGACGTCCAGAGGTCTGACCAACCAAGCTTCCATATGTGACGAGTAGGGATGAGAATGTGTTGGCTGTTCGCTTTGTGGCCATCAGTCATGAATGGGGCTGGTTATCGCTACTCGATACCTCTTAAAGTAACTACTCTCCCTTTTCACCGCTCCCGCATACTCTTGCTTCTCGCTGCTCCCGCCTATTCTCGCTGCTCATGCTCGTGTTTCTTGGCTTCTGTTTCTTTTGATTCACAGAATGTCATTTAATGTTCTTTCTCTTGATTTTGTGTCGTCCTCAGCAGAATTCAGCACTGTGTCCACTGTGTCCCTGGGTCAGCGACTTCCTTTCCCAGCGTTCCCTTTGAGGGCCTCCCTGCCCCCCCTGGCCCCCACCTTGGGCCCCATGCAGGCCGCTGCCCCTCCTGCTGAGTACCACTCGGACTCGGCGGAGTCTCTGGAGGAGATCCCTGTGGTGCTGGCCAAACTGGGCTCTTCATCCTCTGCTGCCGGAGACGCCTCCTCATCCTCACACAGAGCCGTCCCGGTCTTCCCCCTGCCCTCCCCCCACCTCAGGACTAAGAGGAAGGCCTCCTCCTCCCGCGCAAATAAAAGCGCAGCAGTGCTGAGGTTTGAGATGGCCTCCGCCTACCCCCCCACGGCGTTTGTCAGCCGAGCCAGCGGAGAGGCCGCCGAGCCCCGGGAGGGAGGCCTCAGTCTGGGCAGGAAGCAGACTGCCTCCAAGCCCGGATCCAGACCAGCATCTCGGGCGTCTCTGGGTTCGGGTGCGGCCTCCTGGATGGAGCTTTAACCCGAGCACACTTTATTTTCTATCTCTGACTATTTATTGGTTCTGACCTTTTCCTTTGAACGCCAAAGCTCCGTCTGCACAACCTTTAGATGATTTATATTTATAAAAGCTGGAAACCTTAAAGCTGAACCGAGTCTCCATGGTAACCCAGGGCCAGACGACATCACCTCCTGTCCAGCTTCAGTTCCACAACACAGCAACAATAATGCTAATGCGTAGCATGCACATGAGACTCCCTGTTCAGACGGCCAACGTCTCCTAAAGGACGTTAAATAAATTACATGAAATAAAGTAAAACATGTAATTAAAACATAAGTTACACAAAATAATTACAATTTTAAACTTTTGACTAAAACATTTTACTACATTGTTTCACTTGTTATATATTTTTATTTTAAAAAGCATTGTTAAGTAATTCTTCCTCTCAGCTAATCACAAGCCTCCGGCCTCTGTTTGTATGGCGCCCCCTCGCTGCCACGCTGCAGACTGCAGCTCAGGGTTTGACCCTGTTAACCTGCTCGCCTGGCCCCTTGTGGTTTTCACACTTCAGCTGTTGTTCAGACGTCACATGTCAGGCTAGCTGGTTCCCCCAGTGTCCAGTCTTTACGCTAATCTAAGCTAACATGTGGCTGAAGAGGATTTCACTGTTCCTGTGTCTACACATGCTCTGTCCAGCTGCTTCACACACCATGTTTCCCCTCTGGTTTCCTCTGATGATTTTTTCACCTGTTTATCAATAAATGACAATAACTGATCAGTTTCTTACACTTCCTTCAGTTATTCCAGCGTTTGTTTCCAGCCTGACAGGAACGTGTTGAGGCCATCATGCATCGTGTCCCTGCTGCACGTCACTGTCACTGACTCGCAGTAGGTTTAACTTCTATAACTTCTACCAGAGAGACGGTCTGAAAAGTCCACAAAGTCCCAGAATGCAGAGAGGTTAGAACAAACATCCGTTTACTCAGGATGCAGGAACTTCCTGAAGCTTTGATGGTAATCAGTAAAGAGGATGAAGACTTCCTGTTGAACCAGCAGGGAAACCTTTACGTATGTATGTATGTATGTATGTATGTATGTATGTATGTGTGTATGTGTGTATGTATGTATGTGTGTATGTGTGTATGTGTGTGTGTGTGTGATAGATATATAGAGATATATAGAGATATAGATATCTAGACTACAGGAGGCATCATCAATGTGAAATTAAAATTAAAATCACCAATCATAACCACTTTGTCCAACCATATAATAGTTACTCTCTATAAATAAATAAATAAAAAATCTCTAAAATCAGACATAATAGAGCTTTTAGAACCAGGCGGTCAATAAATTAAGATGCATTAAAATGGGTTAGAATAACCCACTTTGGTCACTTGTAATTCAATTGAAGAAAAAAACCCTTTGGTCACCCTCCGGATTTGAAAGCAGTTTTTGGAAACCATCGCGAGATTTCCACCCCGGCCAGAGGTCCTGGAAGTGCTGATAAAAGAACAATCCTGTGGACATAATTCAATCAACGGGCCCTTTTCCATGCTTCTCTGCCAGGTTTCAGTCAAAAACATTAAATGTCCGTGCTGGTGAAAAAAATCTTTCAATATAAACAATTTATTTCTAATGGATTGAGCATTTATTAGGGCCATCCTCAGGGGTGCAGGCCCTCTGCAAGCACTAGTGGAAGGCCGGGCCAGGGGGCGCAGGAAGCGAGGGTCTGATCTGCTATGCAAAACAGAGCGTTTCACTTGAAAAAGGGCGGCTTCAGTAACCAAAGTCTCAATGGGAAAGAAATATGGTAAAGATGACAGATTCATGGGAGAACAGTAGGAGGGGCTAGTGCCTCAGGGCAGTGGCCTGTAGAGAAACAGGAAGGGGGAGGGGAAGACAGTGAGTGTGGAATGTAAATAGTCAGTTACGTGCTGAAGACTGCACCACAGACTGACTGACTGATTCATGTCCCCACAGACTGACTGACTGATTCATGTCCCCACAGACTGACTAACTGATTCATGTCCCCACAGATTGACTGTCTGATTCATGTCCCCACAGACTGACTGGCTGATTCATGTCCCCACAGACTGACTAACTGATTCATGTCCCCACAGACTGACTATCTGATTCATGTCCCCACAGACTGACTGACTGATTCATGTCCCCACAGACTGACTAACTGATTCATGTCCCCACAGACTGATTGTCTGATTCATGTCCCCACAGACTGACTAACTGATTCATGTCCCCACAGATTGACTGTCTGATTCATGTCCCCACAGACTGACTGGCTGATTCATGTCCCCACAGACTGACTAACTGATTCATGTCCCCACAGACTTACTGACTATCTGATTCATGTCCCCACAGACTGACTGGCTGATTCATGTACCCACAGACAGAAAGACTGACTAACTGATTCATGTCCCCACAGACTGACTATCTGATTCATGTCCCCACAGACTGACTGGCTGATTCATGTACCCACAGACAGAAAGACTGACTAACTGATTCATGTCCCCACAGACTGACTATCTGATTCATGTCCCCACAGACTGACTATCTGATTCATGTCCCCACAGACTGACTATCTGATTCATGTCCCCACAGACTGACTAACTGATTCATGTCCCCACAGATTGACTGTCTGATTCATGTCCCCACAGACTGACTGGCTGATTCATGTCCCCACAGACAGAAAGACTGACTGTCTGATTCATGACCCCACAGACAGAAAGACTGACTGTCTGATTCATGTCCCCACAGAGTGACTGACTAACTGATTCATGTCCCCACAGACTGACTATCTGATTCATGTCCCCACAGACTGACTATCTGATTCATGTCCCCACAGACTGACTAACTGATTCATGTCCCCACAGACAGAAAGACTGACTGTCTGATTCATGACCCCACAGACAGAAAGACTGACTGTCTGATTCATGTCCCCACAGAGTGACTGACTAACTGATTCATGTCCCCACAGACTGACTATCTGATTCATGTCCCCACAGACTGACTAACTGATTCATGTCCCCACAGATTGACTGTCTGATTCATGTCCCCACAGACTGACTAACTGATTCATGTCCCCACAGATTGACTGTCTGATTCATGTCCCCACAGACTGACTAACTGATTCATGTCCCCACAGACTGACTAACTGATTCATGTCCCCACAGACTGACTGACCGATTCATGTCCCCACAGAATGACTGACCGATTCATGTCCCCACAGACTGACTGACCGATTCATGTCCCCACAGACTAACTGACTGATTCATGTCCCCACAATTTCAGTAAAACCCGCTCACGTTCTCACACTCTGTGTTCTCTGGCAGCAATCCAGTTGTTTTCCAGTGTTTGATCTGTAACCCACTGATGGAACTAAAATAAACCAGGTGCAGGAGCGTGCTGGAGCTTTATAAAGGTTTTTGTCATGTAACTAAGGCAAGCCATGGAGCTCAACAAGTGTGTAAACATGTAGTGTGACGCCTTCACACGTTAAAGTGGGAGGCTGCTCACACTTCACCTGATTCAGCGCTGCCAGCTGAGCTTCCGTCCTCTGACATGTTTCTACAGCAGAACGGGAAACGCTGCAGGAGCAGCTGCTGTTGAGAGGGATGCTGGAGTTTCTGTTATTCTGATGCGTTTCTGGAGAAATCTGGTAGAGGGAAAAGAAGCATGATCCAACGTGTATAGATAAGATAAAGCATCTACTTGAGTTATACTTCATTCTCTGGCTGGTTTGCCGCCAGCTTCCTCCGAATGTATCCTGAACGGACGGCTCCAGATACATTCCTCTTTGCAACCAGAGGGCCCCTCAGTTAATTTACATTTTAATTCTAACACCCAGGAGCTGTTGTGTGCACCAACAACCACTAGGTGGCATCTGTGAGGGAGGTGGAAACCACACAGCGATCTGCATCCACACCAGCGTTTTAGCTGCGTATCAGAACTGATCTCCGTCTATATTAAAACAGCAGAAAACGCACATCACGTACACTGAGCATGTGCATGCCTGTGTAAACAGGAAGCAGATTGTCTACTCCGCAGCTGCAGAAGATTCAGCTAAAGAAGAAAGTTCTACTAGAGACAAACGAAGAGCAGCGACGGTGAAGAACCACAGCAGAGATTTATCTGCATGGACCGACAGCGAGGTGGAACTGTTACTGAGAGGATCACGGGAGGACAAAGAGACTGTGGCAGCAGGAAACAGACTGGGAGTCGTCACAAAGTAAATATGGAGACATGCACAGCACAAGTGTATAAGTTTTATATACTCAGTACAAAGTATTTTAATAAAACTGACTGATCGTTTTCACCTGTCAGCACTGACACTCTACCCCGGAAACTAAAACAGGGTTTTCGGCCGACCTGAAACGTCTGAAACAGCAGTTTGAGAAAACATTTTTGTACATAAAGAAATAAATAAAAGTTTCACATGTGATGAAGAGTGAATAATCAGCTGTTCAGGAAGTTAAGGGATCAGCGTGTTGATTTTGTGCTTCTGATGGTCATGTGACTCCTGGTCCCTGGAGACATGATTTCATGTTTACTGTTTGAGTATCTCAGGTTTCTGAGCTTCTCCCCTCACATCTGATCCGTCTGCCTTTAATCTGGAGTTTCACATCCATCTTCCTGTCAGACCTCTCGAGCACAGTGAAGCACTTCCTGTCAGATGCACTTCCTGTCTGTTATAGCTGAGCGCACTGGTACACATGCTGTCATTGTTTGTGTTTCTGTTGTCATGACGACGGCTCCAGATTACATGTGATGTTATTTAAACTCAGAGAGCAGCTGTGTTCTCCAGGTGAACCCGTCAGGACCTGCTCTTTGTAGCTGCACCGTGGGGCCTAGTTAGACCCATGGGGGCCAGCAGACCCACAGGGGCCAGTTAGACCCACGGGGGCTGAAGATATTCTCCAATGATTTTTTTTCCCATTCACAGACTTTAGTAAACAGATTTTTGATAATTATACGAGCTAAATAAATAAACTGTGACTGAAGTTGAAGAGATCTGTGGATTATTTCCCCTCGATGACAGACGTGAAGCGGTTTATAAATAATGATTATATAATGATTTATTGCTGTTAAAACACAGCATGTGGCCTTTGAAAGGTCCCCATCCGACCTGTGACCTCTGACCTCCAGCTCCGGGAGCTGACAGGAGCCTGCATGGAAGCCCTGCAGGAGGACCAGCACTCCTCCCCTCCTCCTTTCCTCCCTCCCTCTGTTTTATTGCCCTCCCCTGATGTGGGACAGGGTGTCGCCATGGTGACGGAGTAAACAGATGATAACAAGCCGTGAGCGCTGCAGAGCTCACTGAACGCTGCAACCGCCGCTGAGACAGGAGAGACCGAGGACAGAGGACAGACAGGTAAGACTGCAGGACTCTGTTTTTGTCTGTCTCTGCAGAACTAACTGGATTTTAAGAAAATGTTGAAATGTAAAAACTCCAGACAGAAAAGTGTTTTTAGTTTGAATAGTTTATAAAGAATTACTACATAACACAGATTAATTCATTATAAATATATATATTTAGTAATCATTTTAATCTAATAATTAATAATCTAATATAATTTCAGGTTTGTTTCATTTGAAACAAACTGATAGAAACAGTGAAACAGGCTCTTCAGATTATTAACAGCCAACAGATTAGAGAAGCTGGAGCCAGTTCATTCACACAACAGACTCTACTGATCGATTATTTGTTATATTCTATTTGCCAATTATTCTTGGATTACTGGACTAATGAATGAAGCAGCTGGTAGTCTGAATTGTACTTGGCTTTGTGTAGTGCAAAGAACGATCTAAAACTGTCAGTGTTTAATGAAATAAAGAAGAATAAGAGTGAAGAATAAAAGCGCACACGTTACATGGACCTGAACATCAGAAACCTTCAGGAGGTCTCACACAGTCATGTAACATTTAATGACCTCAGATTTGGATCATTTCAGTTTGTTTGTAGGTTGAGTGACACACAGTGACACACCCATACAGTAACACAGTCTAACTGAAATACAGAAAACAGAAACAGCTTTATTGTAATTATACAAACTGATCTGCAGTTAATATTATTTCTGTCTGTAAGATAAAGAAAAAGTCCCTCTTTAGGTTTTTACATGAGAGTGGACTGAACGACTCCGCAGGAAGGATCTTTTTCTTCTGTTGAAAATGTCCGTGTGTCTGACAGGAAGACGAGCTGCAGCTCATGCAGCCCCTGACGTCGTTTTATAATGTTCAGTCCATCGCCCGGGCCCGTTGGCCGTCCATCGCATAGCCTCTAATCACGTGTCCACCACCTGCAGTGCTCTGACGACATGACCACATCATGTTGTCAGAGACACCCGCAGCTCCTCCACGAACACATCACACTCCTCCCTCTTGTTTCCGCCGTCATCTTCCTGCAACAACTCGCCTTTTTAGAGCGAGACTTCAGTTTCTGTTAAAAACAAAGGGGGTCATGGGGAGTCCCTCGTAGGGATCCTTTCCATGATTTTGTCAGACACCTGGTGTGCTGATGGCAAAAAGAAGCTTTCTGTGGACGCCGTTTTGATGGGAAGGAATACAATAGGAAGCCGGTTCAGCTGCCGGCTGCAGCATCTGCTGCACAGATTCAAAACTCTTTGTACCTACTTGTTATTCCACACCATCACATGAACACAGGGCCCAGGTTTAAAAGAAGAGAAACTCGACCTGAAGCATATTTCTACACATATGCCCAGTACTGTCCCTGATGGTCTCCTGTGTCAGGGACATGAACCAGGAAACTGACTTTCTCTTATCCGGGATGCCGTCCAGCCTCTCAAACACAACACGCTCTGCTTTGACAACTGATCCCAGTGTAATGTCAGACATGTCTGCCCACATCTACACCTGCTGTGAAACCTGGTGGAAAGCTGCTGGGCCCTGAGGTACCCAGACCTCCTGCTGACACCAGAGAGGATCAGGACCTCCTCTGGCCTCACCTCGCTCAGGTGGGTTTGTCATCAGCTGCAGAGACAGCACCAGGACGCCATGGGGAGGGTGAAATTCAAACATAATGGCTGTTAATATCACAGTTTATCCTAAACGTATGGGGGATGAGGGTCTGGACTGTGCGGGCGTCTCCACCTGCGGATCAGCAGCACAAAGGGTTAAAGCTGAAGGTAAATATAGATCAGAGGGTGTGGCGCTTAATAACACACACCCAATCACATCATCGCTCTGAAGCAGCTCAGCAAAGCATGACGTTGTCTGAGCTAAACGATGAGAAAACAGGACCAAGAGTCTAAAGTGGAACTGCCTTCTGAACGTAAGTTAGAACACTTCCTGTTCAGGATGGGTCTGTTTCGGACCGGACCGTGTTCAGTATTAAATGCAAATGTTACCATTTGATCTAATTTGGTGCTGGAGGTCGGGGCGATGCCATCCATATTCACCACATGTTTAGTTAATGCGTCTCGGAGGAGTTTGGACCCAAGTACAAGGACTTCTGTCTTACCCGAGTTCCAGGTTTTTACAGCCTGAAGGCAGCATGAAGTTTAGCCTGCTTTATGTTTCTGTATTTCCTGTTTCACTTTGGAGTTGTTCGGCCCCTGGTGTTGTGGTCTTGTTTCACTTCCTGTGTCACTGATTGTCTGAGCAGTCTCACCTGTTATGTTCACCTGCTGGTGTATGTGTTGGGCTTCTCCCTTCACTCGGTGTGTGTTCATTGTTCATGGCTGCACCTTTCAGTGTGTCGTCATTTGTCTCGTGTCTCAAGATTACTCCTCCTGTTTCCCTTGAGTCATTTTAGATTAATCCGTCATTTCTGGACTTCACCTGGATTGCTGTGCTTGTTTTGGACTTCACATTAACTTCAGGTTTTCACACTCCATTTAAATAAACCATCTGGTCCAAACTGTTCCCCATGTCCGCACCATGGCAGAACGTAACTTAGCTGACTGATTGGTTTCCTCTGGCTTGATCAATAGGTATGATTGAGTATCATCGGCATAAGAGGGAACATTTATCTGTGTTTCCTGATAATATTGTCTAAAGGAAGCATATACAAGATGAAGACTGGCTTAGTAAGACTGGGTGGTCTCATTCCAGGTCGGAGATATGTCGTGTCAGCTCATTAATCTTTACCTGTATAGGTGGAATGTAGACTCCTGTTAGGATCACCCATGCAAACTCTCTTTGGGAGGTGGACTGGTCTGCATTTTGATGTATTCCAGATGTGGTTAAAATCAATGGCAGCTGGACTTGGTTGAAGATACTAGAAGATTTTTCGTCCCTCATCTGAGAGACTTCTTCAGTTCTGACTGACTGCTGAATGACCGCTGGTGTGTTAGTGCTCCTTGCAGTTGTAACGACAGTCGGTATGGTCGTTAGAGCCACCAGCTACACTGTCGTTTATTAAAGAGGTCATATTCTCCTCACACAGAGGTTCAACATTTCATTTAGGGGTTGTACCTGAACAGGTTTACATGGTTTAAGTTTCAAAAACACCACATTTCTGTCAGACTGCTCATTGCTGCAGCTCCTCTTCTCACCCTGTGTGTTCAATGCTCTGTTTTAGCTGCAGAGTGAAGCATCTCACTTCTATAAGATCTTTGTTGGGAGCTGCACATGCTCAGTACCTAGGTAACAACTGCTAGCCAATCCAAAGCAGAGTAGGGCGGGTCACGACAAGCAAGGTAAACAGGGCTTCAGTTCAGTCGTACATGTTGGGACCCGAGTCTGATCCAGAAACACAGGCAGAACAACCAGAACCAGCTTCAGAACCTAGACTTAATCAAGAGTTCAGAGTGGTGAGTTATTAATCTGTAACACATTTATCTTTCATAACGTTTGAACCGAGCTCTGTCTCTACATCACAGCAACAGCTTCGTGTCCTCAGACTGCCTGGAGGGGCTCTAACGTTGGGTAGGGAGGGACGTCTTGTCACTGTGTGCTGCAGCTCAGTGTGTTTCTCCACCAGTGTTTTTGAGGGTGTGCCACGTTAACTGCTAGGCGAGCACTGCTGCGTGTTACGGAGTGACGCAGAGAGGTTACAGAAGTAAAGGGTGGATTACTTTTTCACTTTGTAAACCTGTTACATAAGAGATTTATAACACAATAAAGGAGAGAGAAACAGCCAAAAAGCAAAATATGACCTCTTTAAAACCTCTGAAACATTTTTAATAAACGTGTTTTTAGTCTGGAGCTGAAAAAGTTGAGTTTACTAACTGAACTGAATATGGACGAACTCTGAGTGAACTGAAAATGTTCGACCGTCTGGAATCTGACATCTACACACAAGCTGCATGTCTACGACAGACTGAGTCTCTGACATCAGTTCAGCAGGAAACAAGCAATGTACACAAGCAGAAGACTTGTAAAAACAGAATAATGTAGATGTAGTGAGTGTGGAATATTTTAATGTTGAGCTCTTTGACCTATGAGATTCTCTGTTTGTTAAACTTGTTAAAGTAAAATCTATGAAGATTCTCAGTCATCCAGGTCATAGTTATCCAACGAAGGTTAAAGTCAAGGGCAACTGGACTTGGTTGAAGATACTGGAAGACGTTTCGTCCCTCATCCAAAGGACTTCTTCAGTTCTGACTGACTGGCAGGGAAACTCAGCTATTTAACCTCAGTGGGGTTGTTGGCCCGGGTCATCGATACCGCTGGTTCGTTAGTGTTCCTTGTTGCTGTGACGACAGTCGTTACAGTCGTTAAGACTACCTGTGGCCAAGACTGAACGACCATCGTTGGTATCTTCACCTGAGGCCAATAGGTTACGTTTGTTGAGTTTCCTGGGAAGTGATGAAAGGACAGCATTGTAAGTGGGGGATAAGTGGTGGCGTAGACCCCCTCCCCTGTTCAATGACGGCTTCTCAACCCTGGTGTAGATGCTTCCTTGACACCTCTTTCAAACCATCCATCTTCTCTGTCTAAAATGTGCACCTGGTGGTCCTCAAACGAGTGTCCTCTGTCCTTCAGATGTAAGTAGACTGCAGAGTCTTGACCTGAGGAGTCGGCCCTTCTGTGTTGAGCCATGCGTTTGTGTAGTGGTTGTTTAGTCTCCCCAATATACAGGTCTGTGCATTCCTCACTGCATTGGACCGCATACACTAGATTGCTTTTCTTGTGTTTGGGTGTGCGGTCTTTGGGGTGGACCAGCATCTGTCTTAGTGTGTTCTTGGGTTTAAAAAACACAGGGATGTTATGTTTGTTGAAAATCCTCCTGAGTTTCTCTGATACTCCAGACACGTATGGAATCACAATGTTGTTGCGTTTGACCTTCTTTTCCTCCTCCCCTGTAGTTTTGTTCTTCTTGGATCTTGTGGCTGTTTTCACAAAGGTCCATTTAGGGTATCCACAGGCTGTAAGTGCCCCCTTCAGGTGGTTCCGTTCCTTCTCTCTGGCTTGGGCGCTTGTTGGTATGTTTTCCGCTCTGTGGTGTAGTGTTCTCATGACCCCTAGCTTGTGCTCCAGTGGGTGGTGGGAATCGAACAGTAGGTATTGGTCTGTGTGTGTGTGTTTTCTGTAAACACCAATCTCCTCTTCAATGTGTACAGCGCAGTCCAGGAAGGCCAAACTGTTGTTGTGAACATCTTCTCGTGTGAACTTGATGTTACTGTCCAAAGAGTTGATGTGTTCTGTGAAGGCTTGCACTTCCTGGCTTTTAATTTTGACCCAGGTGTCGTCCACATATCTGTACCAGTGGCTCGGTGCTGTTCCTCTGAAGGAGTAGAGGGATTTATTCTCCACTTCTTCCATGTAGATGTTTGCCACAATCGGGGATACCGGTGAGCCCATGGCACAGCCATGCTTCTGTCTGTAGAATCCACCGTTGTACTGGAAGTAGGTGGTGTTTAGACAGAGGTCGAGTAATTTGCAGATTTGGTCAGAGCTGAGGCTGGTTCTGTTGTCCAGGGTGTTGTCTTGTGTTAGCCGTTTCCCTAACGGTTTCTGCTGCCTCTATGGTGGGGATGCAGGTGAACAAAGAAGTCACGTCATAGGATACCATGGTTTCATCTGGATCCAGTTTTAGTCCTCGAACTTTGTTTACAAAGTCAATAGAGTTTTGGACGTGGTGAGGCGTGTTTCCCACCAATGGAGCTAAGATGGTAGAAATGTGTTTGGTAATGTTGTAGGTGACCGAGTTAATGCTGCTGATAATCGGCCTGAGTGGGCACCTGTCTGTACCTCATCTGTCTGTACCTCACCTGTCTCTGTCTCACCTGTCTCTGCCTCACCTGTCTCTGTCTTACCTGTCTGTACCTCATCTGTCTGTACCTCACCTGTCTCTGTCTCACCTGTCTCTGTCTCATCTGTCTCTGCCTCACCTGTCTCTGTCTCACTTGTCTGTACCTCACTTCTCTCTGTCTCACCTGTCTCTGCCTCACCTGTCTCTGTCTCACCTGTCTCTGCCTCACCTCTCTCTGTCTCACCTGTCTTTGCCTCACCTGTCTGTACCACCTGTCTCTGTCTCACCTGTCTCTGTACCTCACCTGTCTCTGTCTCATCTGTCTCTGCCTCACCTGTCTGTACCTCACCTGTCTCTTTCTCACCTCTCTCTATACCTCACCTGTCTCTGTCTCATTTGTCTCTGCCTCACCTGTCTCTGTCTCACTTGTCTGTACCTCACTTCTCTCTGTCTCACCTGTCTCTGTCTCACCTCTCTCTGTCTCACCTGTCTGTGCCTCACCTGTCTCTGTCTCACCTGTCTCTTTCTCACCTGTCTCTTTCTCACCTGTGTCTGTACCTCACCTGTTCTCTTTCTCACCTGTCTCTGTACCTCACCTGTCTCTGTCTCATCTGTCTCTGCCTCACCTGTCTCTGTCTCACCTGTCTGTACCTCATCTGTCTGTACCTCACCTCTCTCTGTCTCACCTCTCTCTGTCTCACCTGTCTCTGTACCTCATCTGTCTCTGTCTCACCTGTCTCTGTACCTGATCTGTCTCTGCCTCACCTGTCTCTGTCTCACCTGTCTGTACCTCACCTCTCTCTGCCTCACCTGTCTGTACCTCACCTCTCTCTGCCTCACCTGTCTCTGTCTCACCTGTCTGTACCTCACCTCTCTCTGCCTCACCTGTCTGTACCTCACCTCTCTCTGTCTCACCTGTCTCTGTCTCACCTCTCTCTGCCTCACCTGTCTGTACCTCACCTCTCTGTACCTCACCTCTCTCTGCTTCACCTGTCTGTACCTCACCTGTCTCTGTCTCACCTGTCTCTGTCTCACCTCTCTCTGCCTCACCTGTCTGTACCTCACCTCTCTCTGCCTCACCTGTCTGTACCTCACCTCTCTCTGTCTCACCTGTCTCTGTCTCACCTCTCTCTGCCTCACCTGTCTGTACCTCACCTCTCTCTGCCTCACCTGTCTCTGCCTCACCTGTCTGTAACTCACCTGTCTGTACCTCACCTCTCTCTGCCTCACCTGTCTGTACCTCACCTCTCTCTCTGTCTCACCTGTCTCTGCCTCACCTGTCAGTTGGTTTACTCTCTTTTCAAAAAGGGCTCGTCCCGCCTGTGCTCAGGAGGGGGGCCCCTTCCTGCAGATTCAAGTTGATTGGTCTCTGTTCAGTTGACACTGATATATAACTGATGTGTCAGTTATATATTTGTTTTTCACTGCAGGAGAAAATTGATGTGTAGTGTGAGAGCGTGTGAACTGTTAACTGTCAAAACTGTCAAAAGTCTCACACTTGATGCCTGAGAGTTGGCAGCTCTGGTGTTATTTAAAGGTTAAGCAATCTAAAGTTTTGCTAGTGTTAGCTCCTGACCTTCGCCTGTCAAGGAAATCTGTGTATTATGTGTTTTATAAATCAAAATATTTTTGTGCTTGCGCAACTTTTAGGAGTCTTTTCTACGGACAGTTTTATAAATGAAGCCCCTGGTCAGGATCTTTCTCTGACAGCGGAGAAAATGTTCTGATGCATTATATCGTGCTGTCCTCTGATTGGTGCTGTGAGGCTGCAAAGGGAGTCTCAGGGGGGGCAGGAAGTCTCTGTTCTGGTCTCAGCTCCTGGGTTTGGAGGCTGGATATGAGTTATCAGTGGGTATCTGCCTGGTCCCATTTGCTGCAGGGTTCTGTAGAACCGGTCTCCAGCCAAACGTCTCTAGAGCAGATGAACCCAGACTCGGACTTGAGAGTTCCTGCAGCTCTGTGTTCACCAACACTCCGAAAACAGCTGATGGTCGTAGCGCAGCACTGCAGGTGGGCGGCGGCACAAACAGTGCTGGTTACCATGACAACCGCTGTTAGGGATTGCATCAGTGTGTGTTTGTGTGTGAGATCACACGAGTCTGAGAAACCAGTGAGGTCATGTCTCACCCCGACATGCACGCACACACACACACACACACGCACACAGAAACACACACACACACACACAGAAACACACAGACACACACACAGAAACACACAGACACACACAGAAACACACACACGCACACGCACACACGCACGCACGCACGCACACGCACACACGCAGAAACACACACACACACACACACACAGAAACACACACACAGAAACACACACAGAAACACACACGCACACAGAAACACACACAGGAAGGAGGAGCAGCGGGCGTCATATTTGGCCTGACTTTCCTGCTGCTTATGGAGAGAAATAAAAAGTTTTGAATAATCTCCTGTCCTCCGCTCAGTGCCTGTTCCTCCTCTACACAAAATTTATTTCACTTGTTTTCTTTACTTGGTTGACTGAACCTGGGTTTTTCTTCTCGTCCTGTTCTGCAGATATTTTGCCGCCATGGCAGAGAGTGCCGACATGGAACAGCTCCTGGCGTCCTTTAAGAAGTTCGCCGTCCACGGGGACACGAAGGCCACGGGGAAGGAGCTGAACGGGAAGAACTGGGCCAAACTGTGCAAAGACTGCAGAATCGTGGACGGAAAGAACGTCACCAGCACCGACGTGGACATCGTCTTCTCCAAAGTCAAGTGAGTCTGCAGTTCCTGTGTGAGGGTGACCAGGCTCAGGCTCCGGGGCCCCCGGGGGGGAAGATTTCATATCATTATGAGAGTGTGATGATATTCTGGAGTTTGATGCAGTGCAGTGAAGGTAACAGAAGGTCCAGTGTGATGTGTTCTATTTCTGTTTGAAGACAGAAGACGTCTCGGGTCATCACCTATGAGGAGTTTCGGAGCGCTCTGGAGGAACTGGCCCCAAAGAGGTTCAAAGGTCAAAGTAAAGAGGAGGCGCTGGAGTCCATCTTCAAACTGGTGGAAGGTAGAGAACCCACCAACGTCGGCGTGACGGTGAGACCAGAAGCTTTTATAACACACACAAATAGCATGTGTTGTAGGACAGACACGGACCCAAAGCAGAACTTACTGTAGACAGTTTACTGAAGGCTCAAGGTTCCTGCAGAGGTTAGGGCTGCCACCGGCTCAAATTTACCTTCAATATAATATTCAAGTGCCCCAGTCTTTGTTCCATAGCACCCCCTGTTAAAAGATGTCAAGATGAAGCCACATTTTAAAAATGCTCCTTTATACCTTTAAGAACCAGCAGGTAAAATAATAAATAAATGCTGCAACAGCCTGTTTCCCTGTGACAGAGGGGTGTTTGCGGTCCCATCAAGACAGCGTGCGGCTCCCTCGTGCGCTTTTTGACCTGCCAAGGCCATATAGTTTTCCAACACTGTGTATTTTTTAGTAAAAGTGATCATTATACATTTTTCCGTTGAGTAAAAATCTACTTTGAATTTTGGAATTGATTATAAATGTTAAACTTTTGGAGCCATGTCTAATTCTCTGGATGCCTGACCGAGTCCGAAAAACCAAGCGGAACAGTGAGAGCTAGCCGACATTATTAGGCGATTATTATTACCGCCTATGAAACACTACAATAGTCAGTCGTTTTTCTAAATTGTATGCTGCATTTACATTCAAACTGTAGGATTTAACTAGGCTATAACGTCTACGTTATAGGGGGCTGCTACCGCTCCACAGTCCTGGTTGCATCCATGATGTACGGAGCTCCCAGCTCAGCTCAGCATCTTTGATGAAGTTGATGTATTTTGTTTGTATCCACGTGGCTGAATCACCTACTGAGTTCTCTTTGGATGAAAACATCAGCTGAATCCTGTTGGTCCAGGAAAAACACGTAAAATAACAAACCCAAAATAAATCACCACTATCTCCTCAACCATTTGGCCTAGATGCATATCCTTTGAAAGGTCAGAAGATACGGAATATAAATCAATTGTAAATTAACATTTATTTTACCATTAAAGAGTAAATGGAGATGCAATAAAGAAAAAATATGATTAAAAAAGCTATATTTTAATGCAAGAAACCATCAAAACCATCATAAGGTAGACTATAATGCACCTGAATATCTTCTACTACACCTGGAATACAACCATAACTGTAAATTTGATGAAAAGAAACTGATATACAACAGTTATTACACAATCTTTCTAAAATATACCAGCCGAATGTCCATGTTTTGGCCATATTTACTGTTTATATGTTCACTTTTATTAGGAGTTATCTTCAAAACATTATTTCTCATCATACAACCACGTTCCAAATAACATAAAGCTTCCAAAACATTGAAATATTGATAAAAACAGTCAATATTCCTGTGACCAACCTACAGGGCTGCAAGTGGGCTCATTCTCTTCATATTGAAGAGACGATTGACATCTTGCATGTCTGTGTAGCTCCTACGGGTCGCCAGCAGAGGCCAATAAAGACCGCCTCTGCCAAAGCAAACTCTTCTTCTCTACTTCAATCTGAGACAGAAGCGAAACGTACAGCCAAGTCGACCTCACCAAGATGGCGGCCTGCCAGATGGTCTCTGTTGACACAAAGGACCGCTGTTTTTGGACAGAAAACAGCTAGAAAAGCAAAAATCGATTACGTCCCCCATATCGGGCAAGTCCATTTCCAAGTGGTTATAACACAGTTCCAAATAACATAACATTGAAATATTGGGATGTAAAACGGCAATGAGCCAAAATCAAGAGGGGGCAGCTGTGTTCAACAGTATAACACTCTGTTGAAGCTTCAGACGGAGGTTCTATCTGTGAGAATCACCAGCGTCTTCATGTTTCATCATGGAGCTGCAGGAAACAAGTCCAGAGCTGCTCCACAGAGACCTGGACCTGCTCTCAGGTTTCAGCTGCCTGAGAGCGACCGTAAAGGTTTGGCCCCTCATCAGAGAGCTTTATGAAGTCATGGGAGTTTGAGCCAGCAGGCAGGGCGGTCTGGATCATCTTCAGATCATTAAACACTCTTTAATCAGCAGAGAGTATCCAGGAAACAGTACTGACTCATAATACTTATTTAAAATCTCTGCTAACGAGAGTCCAGTCCTTTGTGCCCGTGATGAGGGAGGAGCACAGTCAGTACCAAGTCAACATGTATTAAAATATTTTACACCCTCATATCCTCCTATCCTGAACCGCTGTCCCTGCTGAGTGTTTGTCTAAAGATAATAAAGTTTTTAAAGTAGCATTTATGTTCCTGTAGTTCCTGCCCCGGCCTTTAGAGGGCAGCACTTTCAGGTGCCTGTTCGGGGCAGGTCTGATTTTATTCATTTCCTGTCCTCTGTGTCCATCAGAAAGTGGCAAAGACGGCGGCGGTGGACCGTCTGACCGACGCCTCCCGTTACACCGGATCACACAAGGAGCGCTTCGATAAGAGCGGCAAGGGCAAAGGTCGGGAGGGCCGGGAGGAGCTGGTGGAGAACACGGGTTACGTGGGCGCGTACAAGAACGCGGGGACGTACGACACCAAGCTGAAGGCAGAGAAATAACCAGGCGGGAAGCAGAGCTGCCTGCTGGGAGCTAACAGGAAGTACTCAGTCTGGACCAAACCCTGAACTTTGACCCCTCTGCGTGTGTGTGTGTGTGTGTGTGTGAACTGGACACGCTGACCGATGAGCTGCACTCAGATCAGATTGTAAACTCTGGAAACACGTGACAGAAGTAATGCAGTTTGTAATAGTAATAAGTAATCAGTCCCTCTTCATCACATGTGAACCAGGAGAGAGCGGGACGTGTCCGGAGAGTTCAGTCAGAATGGCTCACAGAGTTATAGGCCACGCCCACACGTCAACATGACACTTGTGCTGTGTCTCAGTCCGCGCACTTCCATACTTACACTTACTATTTTGAGGGCATAAGTGTGTTCACACTGAGAATAACGGCAAAAAGCAGTACACTACCCTGTCAAAATACTGCACTAAGCATATAAGTACATAGTGTACGCAGTGTACTGCATGTTAATATACTAAAGGAAGTACCCGAGTTGAGACACAGCATTGGTATTTTGTGGCGCCCCCTATGAGTCGTCTCAAACTGCTCTGGCACGCCTCTTCCCAAACTGAAGAAACCCCCCACAATTAATGATGATTGGATAAACCGTTAATGTGTTGTGGCCAATTTCCTGCTAAGCCCCGCCCTTTCCGAAGATGCTTTGGTTGATGGCGGCCATGTTTTTCTTCCTCATGTGTACCTCAGTCCTGTGATGCTGTATCCCACACTGATAGAGTCAAATTTAAAGTCATGTGACTGTTTCCCACATTATGCAAATTAGCATATGATCCATGATGGTGGCCTTTATGGTCCAAGAGGATTTAGTAGAACTGAGCTCGTCGTTCGATTGGGCCATTATTTCTCTGGAAGCACTTTGTTTCCAGCTCAAACAAGTCAGCGGTGTCAGCGGTGTCAGCGGTGTCGTGAGCTCAGCTCACAGTTTCAGTTGTGTATCTTTGATCTACAAAAGCTTTTTGATCCACGTTGAACCTGAGAGTCAGGATATGTTCTTCTTTGATTCTTCTATATTTCCATGTTGCAGCTTTGTTCTTCCTCTGCAATGATTTAAAGGTTTTGTTTCTGTCCGACTCTCGACGCAGAAACTGGACTCGAGCTGCACTGGTTTCTTTATGATTGACATTGAATGAATAAAGGCAAAAAACAAACGTGTTTCTGTTGTTTCTTTTTTCTCGTGCAGTCTGTTTCAGGACCTTTTTGGACTGTGTTTGTTGACAGAAAGGTTCCTGGTCCCTGCAGCGCCTCCATCCTCTCAGCTGGTGGGGTAAAGTAGACTTTCTGTCTACTTTCTGTCTCGCTAACAGCATAATAATCCATGTAACGCCGTCACAAACACCTTTACCTGACGTCAGGATGGATTCAGAGCTCAGTAAAACATGAAGTCATGTTTTATTTATTCAAACCAACGTTTCATGCTGCAGGGAACTCGCAGTACTGCAGTTTTTATAAACAACAGACGTCTGTCCAGAAATTCATGTCTTTGGGACCCCCACCAGGACCTGGCCTGACTCGGGGCTGAAAAGAGTTTCCTCAGGTAAAAACCCACTCAGTCTGTATTTAGTTAGCAGGTAGGGAGGGTCAATTTTATCATTTCCAGAATGAAAAACAGAAAAACATAGGAAATATCATTCATCATCAGGGTGTGTGTGCAGGTGCAGCTTGTTGTCATGGCAGCCACAGTGTAAACAACACAACAGCTGAGCAGCAGCTCTGTGTGTTTGGATTCTGGTCTAATCAGATCCAGATCTGATGGTCCAGATCAGCCCCCTGCTGCAGGTTCTAATGTGCCCTTTTAGTGCGACAGACACAATACTCTCTGGCTCTGACTCACCTTACTGGTCATTTGTAAATTAATATTATTTATATATTAAGATATTTTAGTGATATTTGGTGATGTTTTTTCTGATAGTTTACAAATATTTGTACAGTTTTTATCATTAATGATGTTTGTACATACTTTTTTGAAAACAATATTACAAAAACAGACTTTGTGAAGCTCTGCGGCCCACAAACACTGAACAATATAAAACACAAAGTAACTTGTACTTTGAGTTGTTTACTGGTGAAGTACGTGCATACTTTTACTTGAGTAGGTTTGTCAAGTGGTAATTTTGAATTCTACTTTTACACAGTGTTGGGCAGTAGTGAACTGCATGTAGTGAACAGTAGCTTTGGGCTTCTTCTAGTGCTCCTCAGCTGTAATGGACCCCCTTTGACCCCCCGAGCCCTCTGTCTCTGCTCACGTGTCCTGTAAACCAGATTCTTCTCTGACAAGTAAAAAGACCGGGCAGCTGCTCAGACCCGTGCTCAGGCTGTTATAATGGCTAAAAGTTTAACCGTCTTAAAGATAAATCAAATATGTTTTCTGTTTTAGATAAAATCTACATTTGTTTACAACCAAAATATAACATTCAGGTGGGATCGTTAGGACAGGTGTAGGTCTCAGGTATTCCAGGAAGCTGGACTGTCGGCTCACCTGTGAACAGAATTTAGATTTTAATGTTGATTTTAATGTCTGAATTTGTAAAACTAAGCTTTAAAATATATGTAAATCTTCATTTGGTGTCAGTTAATCTATTTATAAACAAACGTTCAGAGATGTTGTTGCATGCTATTTTAGAAGTTACCTGGCTAACTGAGTAATCCTACCCCACCTGGCCTCTAGTTTCTAGAGGTATTTGAGGGACACGTTCCCAGAAACCGCAGGGCTTTTGATTTTTAATGTGTGACCTGTGAACGGGCACTTTGCAATAAACTCAGCTGAGTGGCATGTGACTTTTCTTGTATGATTGTTATAATTTAATCACATTATTAATCGCAGTTTGAACTACTTTTTCTAAGTAGCTTCAATGAACCAAACCAGATTTCTCCCTGGGGGAGCTATCAGCTTCTTCCAGTGTGAAGTGCTTCTACACCACGGCCTACACAAAGTATATATATATATACGTTCCTGGTTTCATATGTATGTCTGCATAAGGCACACTTGTTAACATGGAGTGGTGATCTATGATCACAGGTTGGGCTGTGGGTTGCCAGATATTTTTTGATAGTTCACTTAAATCTGCTGAGACATTAACATTTTATTCACACCCAGGAGGAGAGGAAAAGAAACCGGTGAAGGGAAACGGGGAGGCAGTTCAGGGGAAGAACCCAGACAATCCGTGTATGGTTCGTTCTTTTCAAAACCAAATCAGAAAAACCAAAGAACCAAGTAGTATTTTGGTTTTTCTGTTTCAAAACGGAAACGGAAAAATTGAAAACAGAAAACCAAAAAACAGACATCTGCTTTGTTGATATTTTTGTTGATATGATATTTAACAGAAAACACTGAGTAAGTACGTGGTTGGGGTGAATGGAGGGCCAGAACCAGCTGAACGGTGTTCCTGTAGGCTACAGTGTGAAACCAAAAGTCAACATTAGGCTACATATTTAAGTTATTTATTTTATTTTATAGCCTATAGGCTAAGGCTATTTCTTTTCAAGTCGCATCTCATATCAACTATGGCAAATATGACTGTAGAAGTGAGCACTACAGGCCTATTATAGAAACAGAAATATTAGAAAATGGGTTACTTGTTTTGCAAGATCGCGTCAAGCTGGAGGAGCCTCAAGCACTCAAAATTCTCCAATTTCTAGCTTAAGTAGTCTACCTCAGCATCAAGGCAGCATTTTATTTTGGGCTGATCTGAAGATGGTTACCTGAGCGATCTAAGAAAATACCCGAATATGTTTATCAAGAGTTTTTCCTTGAGGCTACGGCCAGGGTGCGACCTACGGGGGGCCAGCTTTACTCCTCTTAATAAGACATGAGCTCCACTGAAAACATGATTTGTAATATTTTGGGGGGTCTTTAAAATATGGACAATATGCTATTTTTGCCATTCATTTTCTGTAGCCTATCATCGTTGATCATGCGTAAGGCTTCATCCAGCCAGAGGGATCACTGGCCGTCCACAGAGCACCAGGTCCCTCCCGCGACCTCCTCTCTCTCGCACGCTCCAGCACCCGCTCTCTCTCCGGCAGTAGACCTATGAGCTGTGTTGCCAGTGGAACCGGTGTAACACCAAAATGTGTGAGCCATCAGATTCTGTGACTACTCCCAAATGACAATGTTTTCCTAACCATAACCAAGTTCTTTTGGTGCCTAAACTCAACCAAGTACTTTTGGTGCCTAAACCCAACCAAACTGCAACTGCTTCACATCGTCAACAAAGCCTCTGGCGCTTAACTTGCCATTTGGGTCACAGAATCTGATAGGTCACACATTTTGGTGTCACACCGGCACACTGTACGGTCAGTGGTTCCATGCTCCTAATCCATGTGTTCCTGGAGGCTCTCCGCAGCATGAAAATAAAGGTCAGATCGAAACAGTGTAGGCTGAAAGAAAATTACCCCGAACCTTTTCATCTGTATTTGATTCGTTAATATACAGCTCGCCAAATTAACTAATAACAGTTCATGTCAATTCATTTGCTGTGTACCATTGGATGTACTGACAACTATCGCTGAATTAATTTTAAACTGAAGAAGTCTTAAAAACCGGAGGATTCTCAGGAAAGCTTCCTGTTCCAGTTGCTAGTGAGTTACAAAGCGAGCAGCCTCCGGTACTGCAGCAAGGCCTAGCCTATATAATAGTGTCCTGTTTGTAACTAAAAACCCACATTTGTTGATGTTTAAGTTTGTCTTTATTACATTTAATCAGGCACCGCCATCCCCAAGTGTATCTGCTGCAGGTTTATCAAGTGTAACACACAAAGCTAAACATATTGGTCTCATCAAAATCAATATTTTTGCTTTGGTTTTAAAACAGAAAAACAAAAAAGGTCTGTTTTTTCCATTTTGGTTTTGAAACAAAATAATAAAGAAGGAACCATGCACGGATTCCAGACACACAAAAAGATCTGTGATGGTTCCGTTTTTATTTACAGAGGTATATTTCATTCCCTTTAATCTTTGTTTTTTCTCAGACTGAACATCTCAGCTGTGACACATTCATATCAAGCTTTTTATACATAATGTATTTGATCTTTAACTGTACATTATTGATCTTTACATTGTTTATTCAGTGCAATAGATGCATGCCAAATAAACAACTTAAAATATTCTGTTATAAAATAAAATCAATAAAAAGCTGATATTTACTAACTAATATCCTACAGTCATGGAAACAGACAGGTAAAAGCCCCCCAGGCTTCCTACAAAGGAGCAAGACCTAAAACTAAAGTCCTGTTGAGTCTCTTTGTGGTGGTTTTGGCCTGTGCTACCCCCAGAAGTTACAAGTTTCTATCATTATATGACAGAAAACAAGAAAAGCAAACATGAGCCCTTTTATCGATAATGAAAATAATCCCTACTTTTACTTTCCATTTTGGTTCTGACACTTTTACTGAAATCTTCCACGATGAATTCCATTTCAGTTCTTATTATCCAGACCCTGAAGGAGCCCTCAGTCCTTCGGGATCAGTAGTCAGAGTCTCTGGACCTGGAGCTGGATCGTGGCCCCACCACCCCGCCCCTGAATGCTGACACCAGGTCTCTGACGCTGCCGGTCGAACGAGGCATCTCCTCGTTCTCCTTCCTCTTCGTCCTGGTCTTCCTCAGGTTGGTGTTCATACTCTTGGACCGCAGCGTTGGGTACATCCTGTCCTCCCCCAGCAGAAGCTCCTCTGACGGCCCCTCCTCCCCTCCGTTACCATGCTTACTGCCCACCATTTCACCCCCCTGCAACTCTTCGGACGGCCGGGACGTTCTGTCCTCCACTTCCTGTTTGGATTCATCGCCTCCACTCTGGGGGAGGGGTGGACTCCCCAGTGAGGCATGCTGGGAGATCTGGAGGCCTGCTGTGAGCCAGGGGGGGTTCAAACTGGTAGCATCTCCCTGGTCCTGATGGGCAGGGCTGTAGACGATGCTGCTGATGGACTTGGTGGAGGAGAGAGATCCACTGAGTGTTGGAGAGGATAAATACTGTGTGACCTTTGACCTCTCCAGAGGGAAGGATGCTGCTGCCTCTAGTCGGGTTTTCTCTGCTGGTTTCTCCATGTTAGCTTCTGTCTGCTCAGACTGCGGTGAAGCAGGACAGGTGTGGGGGGGTCTGCGGTTGGGGTCGCAGGGGGAGATCAGGATGTCAACGTTTGACTGAGACTGAGTCCTGCCCTTCAGTCCTCTCACATCCAGAGTCGACCCGAACTCCTTTACATCACCTGATAACAGGAAGCAAAACAACCTCATCATTTACCTCAACATTCAGCTTCATTCCTACACAGTCATGTATATGTATATGTCTGAGTATCACCGGTTTTCAGTCCTGAAAGATTAACAACCTGCATATGCCGGGCATTACAGTAGTCAGAAGGGCGTTTCAGTAGTCTGAAGGACATTACAGTGGTCAGAAGGGCGTTTCAGTAGTCTGAAGGACATTACAGTAGTCTGAAGGACATTACAGTGGTCAGAAGGGCGTTTCAGTAGTCAGAAGGACGTTACAGTAGTCTGAAGGACGTTACAGTAGTCTGAAGGACATTACAGTGGTCAGAAGGACATTACAGTAGTCAGAAGGGCGTTATAGTAGTGACAGTGGTCAGAAGGGTGTTACAGTAGTTACAGTAGTCAGAAGGGCGTTACAGTAGTTACAGTAGTCAGAAGGGCGTTACAGTAGTGACAGTGGTCATAAGGGTGTTACTGTAGTTACAGTAGTCAGAAGGGCGTTACAGTAGTGACAGTGGTCAGAAGGGTGTTACAGTAGTTACAGTAGTCAGAAGGGCGTTACAGTAGTTACAGTAGTCAGAAGGGCGTTACAGTAGTGACAGTGGTCATAAGGGCGTTACTGTAGTTACAGTAGTCAGAAGGGCGTTACAGTAGTGACAGTGGTCATAAGGGCGTTACTGTAGAGACAGTAATCAGAAGGGCGTTACAGTAGTCGGAAGGGCGTTACTGTAGTCGGAAGGACTTTGTGAGCTGATATTGTTCTGAACAAAATTTGTCTAGGGTGATCAGGAGTTCTGTATCTCATGTTGTAATGTGACTAAGACTGAACAGTCAAACCCCAATAATCCGTTTTCTAAAAACAGAGAAATTAATGGAATGCAATTCTATATATAACTAAAACCTGAATTTTGGAAAGTAGAAACTAGAGCAGTAACTTTTGTTAATATAATTGCTAATGTTACATAATTTCATCTCGTCATGTAAAGTCACCTGATCCCTTGTTGTAATGTGTCTCGTCCTACCTGTTGTGGGTCCTTGCTCCGTGGTCCTTTCTTGTCTCTCTGGACTCAGTTGGACCCTCCTGTCATTTCCGTCCATGTCTCCGGACACAGTGATCCTGTCATCATGCTCCAGCTGGTATCGGTACAGACTGTATCCGTCTCCGCTGTTGATGCTGCATTGTCGCAGCAAAGCGGCTGGCTCGCAGAAGGACGATCCTCTGGAATGACTGCGGACGAGCTCGGCCCGGTCGACGCCCGCCAGCTTCTCCAGCGCGTTCATCATTCGGCTGGAGAACTCCTCCAGCTGAGCCAGACGGAGGTCCACTGTCTGCAGGGATGCCTTCATCGAGTGCTCCCTCTCATTCACCTCCTCCAGACGCATGAACATGTTCTCCACCCTGAATAAAAGGAAACACAGAGGAGAAAGCAGGGAAACAGTTTGATTTGGTTCCACAGTAAATATGATATTTTTGTTTGTTCTGCTGCAGTGAGTACAACTTCATTTCACTGTTACCTGCAGACACTTCACCAGATTCCATTTTCTGTTTGTGTGTATGTAAGTATTGCAATTAGGGTGACCATATTTAGAAATTACTTTATTTGGTAAATGTCTGCCTACAGATTGTTATAGTCAACCTATTTGTATTTCAACAGTTTATTGAGATTGTACTGATTTACAAATAGAACCGTTTTCTGTCTTGTTAAGGTTTGATTTGGGCTAATATTAGTGTATTCATTATAGGGCTGACCCCAATAGTCGAAGATTCGATGCTTCGATGGCCTGATTCAACTGTCAATTTCACAGTCGAAGCTTCGCAGCGAAACAAGGATCACGCCATTTTGGCTATATGGGGGTGCTCAGTGTCTGATTTTACATAGAACTACCAGTTTTCTCCCAATAAGTTAATATATAGCCTATTACAATATACATTTCAACGTTTAATGCTGTAAATAAATATGTAAAAAGAATAAAACTTTCAATAAATGATTTTGAAGTGCGTGAATAAATCCAAAATTTTAACCCTAACCCTGGGTTGTCAGTGCGCATGTGTAAGCGTAGCGTGTATGTGTACAGTGGCAGAAGAGGAACACTTGCTGAAGAGACCAAGCCCCAGCTTCACTGGTGTTGTGCCGAGTTGTTCGCATCTTGCGGGACTTTCGGATAATTTATCAGCGTTGATGAACCACATATTGAATATTTTATCGCTTTTAAATAGCCGGCTACTTGAAATAGACCCGTGGGGAACCGTGACGTGCATGCATTTGTCGGCAGCAGTAATGCAGGTAAAAGTCTGCACAAGACCGTTGTGCCTCAGTTTAGCTGGATTTACAGTGTAAGTTGAATGAAAAGACACTGCAGCTTCTCAAGATTAAAGCGGAGCTACCGTGTGTAACCCCCCCACCCCACTCGCAATCGCCGCGCACAAAACACACATGATACCACTATCAGTCGACTATAGGAAGGACTTCACTTTTCTGATTCGACCTTGTTTATCCTTAGTCGGGGACAGCCCTAATTCATTATAATTTCAGATAACAGTATTCTAACTTACCCATAGTATAATATTATATCCACTTACAATAGACTTATTATGTTACGTTTGTTTTCTCATTCATTATAAACCTTATAACCTTATAACCTTATACCTTGACAAAATGAACAACTGGAAATCATGAAAGGATGATTTAAAAATGTGAAGTGACATTTAAAAAACACAAAAAGGAAAAAATTTAAGTTTGAATATCTCCTTTGTTCTGCTTAATGGTATATCGTATATGTCATGTCTGTCTTCACTGTCTCAGAATAAGCAGAGTCTTGACATGTCAATACGAGGAGTGTACATCATTCTATTAATGTAAGTAATATAAAGACAAATATGAGTTTATAAAAACAGCACATTTGTCTTCCTGACCTCTCAGATGTGACTCTGATTCTCTCGTTGTTGGACGACTGTTTTTCGTCGTCTTTCTCTCTGAAGTATTCCTCCACACACTGCTCCTCAAACTCATGCAGACTCTTCAGTTCATCTGCACTCAGCACCAGCTCTGAGGACACAAACATTATTTTATCTCAGAGGAAACAAACGCCGTTTCGTCTGCAGTTCTGAATCTTTGTCCTGCTGTCAGAGGGACTTCAGAGTGAAGCTTACGGAGTCGTCTCTCCTGGTCGTCGCGATCTCCCTCCGGCCTCCGTCTGCAGCGGCAGCACAGCCTCTTCAGGACGATGTAGATGTGGGGGAAGACGATGAGGGGGGGAGGCAGGATGGGACGGTCGTGGAAGGTCATGATCAGCTGATACCGCTGGAACTTCCACACCTGGTTAGAGATGGACTTCACCTCGAAGAAGGTGTTGCTGAGAGGAGAAAGAGGAGGCAGGTTTGATTTTCAATTCAATTCAATTCAATTTTATTTATATAGCGCCAAATCACAACAACAGTTATCTCACAGCGCTTTTCATAAAAGAGCAGGTCTAGACCGTACTCTGTGATGATATTTACAGAAGCCCAACAGTTCCCACCAAGAGCAAGCACTAGGCGACAGAGGCAAGGAAAAACTTCCTTTTAAGAGGCAGAAACCTCGAGCAGAACCATGGCTCAGGGTGGGCGGCCATCTGCCTCGACCGGTTGGGGTGAGAGAGAGAGAGAGAGAGAAAGAGAGAGAGAAGAGAGTGAAAGAGAGAGAGAGAGAGAAAGAGAGAGAGAGAGAGAGAGAGAGGGATGTAAGGAGAGAGAGAGGGGAGGGAGGCAGCCTACACAATAATATAATTTTCTGTCTCTCCTCAGAATTCCTCCAGGACTGGGTTTAAGAAGCTGTTTGTAAATGTCTCTAAAGTTTGTGGGTGAAGGATTTTTGTGTAAGCCCAGCTCAGTTCTCTAGTTCAGTATAGTCTCAAGGTGTTTGTCATAAGGGAAATATTGTACCTTTTTCCACTACATTTGTCTGGAGTTACTGGGTCATTTTAGGGCTGGAACTAACAATTAATTTTACTCCCTCTGACCCATTTCATATCAAACGAATGCATGAGAATCCACAGAAGCAGAGATACAAGGATTTAACCTGACACTGAAACTACCATGACTTTTATTTTGGAATCTTTTCCTGCACGTGTTTCCTCTCACAGCTCCTCTGCAGCACTGTGTTTAAACAGTAACTGATCTGAGGTCTGTCTGTGTGCTGTATATTAAAGCATCAGCAGCAGGATCAGGTGACCAACACTGACTTGAAGACGGCGATGAGCAGGTTGACCAGCAGGATGTTGGCGACCAGCAGGTAACAGGCCATGATGGCCGGAGTGAGCCAGGCTCCAGGGATACAGGGAGGAAGCTTCTTCCCGTCTTCATCGTACATGTTGTCTCCACACGGTGCTGAGATTCAAACAACACACTCATTAATGTCCATACAGAGACATGAATGGACTGCAGTAGTTTTATATTGATTGTTTTAAAGCACTCCGTTCCTTGTAGCGAGTAAAAGTATCAAAATAAATGTGGAAATACTCAAGTAAAGAACAAGTAACCTGCTCTGGATTCAAATAAGCTTCAGATAGGAAAAGATGTAGTTTGTTAAGTGGAGCTGCTTCAGATTTCAACTGGACCAACTCGGGTGAGCTTTTATTGTGAAACAGTCACAGGAAACACTATGTAAAACAAAATACCTGTCTGCATCAACCACTGGCAATAGATAGTGAGCTGTAAAAGTTCACAGCAAATTCTGTCTGAGATACTTACGATTGATTTCCATCGCATAAACTGTCCGCCAACCGCCGAAGGTAAAAAATTAGAAGAGAAACAACAACATGAACTTCAGGCTAGAAACACTCAGGAACATGCTCAAGAAATGTGAAAAAAGTGTGAACATGTACAAACATTTCAAAATGTAAAAACTTCAGTACAACATGGAAAGGTTTTAATTTCTAAACATTTTCAGCAAAATAACAAATTTGGTACTAATAATCAGTCAAGTAGATTTAAATATACTAACTGCACAGCAGGTCAGCTGAACATGACGTAAATATATGAAGAATAATGTTTTCAGCCATAACATTATGACCACTGACAGGTGAATGACCCTGATTACCTGGTCACCATGGCACCTGTCAGTGGGTGGGATCTATCAGGCACCAGGTGAACATCGTGTCCTCACAGTTTACGTTAGAAGCAGAAAAAGTGGTCCAAGTTGTGACAGGGTCATGGACGGCCAAGCCTCACTGATGCCTGTAGGGAGCGAAGGCTGGCCCGTGTGATCCGATCCAACAGACGAGCTGCTCTAGGTCAGACTGCTGAAGAAGCTGATGCTGGTTCTGATAGAAAGGAGTCATAACACACAGGGCATCGCAGTTTGTTGTGTACGGGGCTGCGTAGCCTCAGACTAGTCAGGAGGCCCTTGCTGACCCCTGTCCACTGCAGAAAGCGTCTACAATGGGCATGTGATGTCATGATTAAGCTTTGCCACCTCCCCCTTCCTAATGTTTCCTCTGTTTTCCGCTCCCTGCTGTCTCTGTCAGTTTGGTATGTGATGTCCTGTCTGTGTGTGTTGGGCGCGTCTGGCTCCGGCTCCTGGCTTGTCACCACCTGCAGCGGCTTATCAAGTAATCAGCCCATGCAGTGAAATACTTTGATACATCTTCCACTCCTTGCCAGTTTGTCAGTTTTACCTCCCGTGGTGTGATTGCTGGGTGGCACGGTAGTGCAGTAGTTAGCTCTGTTGCCTCCCAGCAACAATGTCATGGGTTCAAGCCCCGGTTGCCCCGGCCTTTCTGTGTGGAGTTTGCATGTTCTGCATGGGTTCTCTGATCCTTTTTTCTGAACTCATTACTACACATAAACACAATCCCAGGTTTCTGTTTAAGACTGTGGATCAGCTGGTAAACCCAACCCCTCCTTGTGCCTCAGCTGGAAGTAATGATAACTGTGAATTGCTTTTATCTTATTTTACCAATAAGGTGGTGTCAATCAGAGCCTCTATTACCCCCGCGGCCTCTTACTCAGAGGTTCCTCACCAGCAACAAGAGAGTTTTAACCAGTTTTATCCCATCGACTTGTCTGAGCTTTTAAAAACAGTATCACAAATGAGAGTGTCCTGCTTAAAGTCACCAATGACCTTTTAATGTCTGCTGATGAAGGCATGTGCTCAGTCCTGGTACTCCTGGACCTTAGCGCTGCTTTTGACACCATTGATCACAACATCATGTTAGACAGACTGAGGCACTGGGTGGGGATCTCTGGTACTGCCCTAGAATGGTTTTCATCCTACCTGTCAAATAGGAAGTTTTGCATGTCTGTAAACAACTATGTCTCTTCGTTCTGTCCAGTTAAATATGGTGTGCCTCAGGGGTCGGTCTTAGGACCCATTTTGTTTTCCTGTATCTGCTTCCCCTTTGACATATTATCCATAAACATGGCATTTCTTTTCATATTTATGCTGATGACACACAAATATACTTGCCCATCAGATCCACAGACCCTGGAATGCTGAGTTCACTAAACAACTGCCTTTGTGAAGTTAAAAAATGGATGTCAAATCATTTCCTCCAGCTGAACTCAGACAAAACAGAAATCCTGGTCATCGGGTCCCAGCAGATGGCAAAACCAATACTGCCATCTGCTGGTTCCCTAGTAAATCACATTAAGCCTGTTGCAAAGAACCTTGGTGTTTGGTTTGATAGTAATTTAAATTTCGAGCAGCACACCGCAAAGCTTGTTCAATCATGTTTTTATCAACAATCATTTTACACGCCTTCATCTCATCACGCCTGGATTATTGCAACAGCCTTTTCACCTGTTTAACCCAAAAATCTACTTATCAACTTCAGACTGTCCAGAACTCAGCTGCCAGGCTTTTAACCAGAACAAAGAAATATGACCACATTACTCCTATTTTAGCTTCATTACACTGGCTCCCAGTATGTTTTAGAATTGACTTTAAAATTCTATTGATCACTTTTAAAGCTCTTCATGGCCTCTCGCCTTGTTATATTTCTGACCTTTTAGTCCCATACGCACCAGCACGTACCTTGAGATCCTCGGGCAGAGGTCTGTTGTCTGTTCCAGAGTCTCGACTGAAAACTAAAGGGGACAAAGCGTTTGCTGTCAGGGCCCCGAGGCTCTGGAACAGCCTGCCGAGGAAATCAGGTCGGCTGAGTCAGTGAACTCTTTTAAGTCCCTTCTTAAAACATACTTTTATAGGAGAGCTTTTCCCGATTTTATTTAATTATATTTTAATTATTTTATATTCATCTTAAAAACGTGTATTTTAATCTTTTCAATGTTTTCTTGCTTTTATTTTGTATTGTTTTTTGTTTGTTTGTTTGTTTTATTTTTTTTACATTATTGTCTTTTGGGTATTATTGTCTTTACACTTGTTAAAGCACTTTGTAACTTGTTTTGAAAAGTTTGAAAAAAAAATAAAGATTATTATTATCATTATCCTAAATTGTCCTTAGGTGTGAGCGTGAGTGATTTCTCTGTTTGTCAGCTTCTAATGTCCTGTTTCTTTGTCTACTCCAGTTGTTCCCTGTGTGTGAAGACGTTGCCTGCCTGCCTGCCAGTCAGTCTGCCCTGAACTGAGCTTTAGGATGCCATTGTCAAATCCCCACAGAATCTGGAGTTCTGCCTGGTTTTCTCCGTGCACATTGAAAATAAACCTGCCTGAGTTTTTTACATCTGCCTTGTGTCCGCTCTTGAATCCCTTTAGTGAAAACCTGGTAACACATGGTACCAGGATGCACTATAGTAAGAAAATAAGCCGGCAGTGTGATGCTTTGGACCATGTTCTGCTGTGGAACCTTGGGTCCTGCCATTCATGTGGACGTTACTTTGACACGTAGCACCTACCTAGGCATTGCTGCAGACCATGGAAACAGTGTTCCCTGATGACAGCGGCCTCTTTCAGCAGGATAATGCGCCACAAAGCAAAAACACTTCAGGAACGGTTTGAGGAACAACAACGAGTTCAAGGTGCTGACTTGGCTCTCAGTCTAGTCCAGCATCTGTGGGATGTGCTGAACCAACAAATCCCTACCTTGCATACAGGACTAAATGGATCTGCTGCTTGGTGCCAAAAGCCACAGCACACCTTCAGAGGTCTAGTGGAGTCCAGGTGTCAACAGGTCAAGGCTGTTTTGGTGGCAATAAGGGAGACCTGCACAATATTAGTCAGGTGGTCAAAATGTTATGGCTGATCGGGTTATTTAATGATATGTAAAGAAAAATATCTCGCAGAGGGTGAGGGCAGGGAGTCAGGGCAGAGGGTGAGGGCAGAGGTGAAGGACAGGGTGAGGGCAGAGGGTGAGGTCAGAGGGGAGGACAGGGGTGAGGACTAACAGGCGGCTAACTGGAGTCTTACTATGAACTCTGAGGGTGAGGGCAGAGGTGAAGGAAAGGGTGAGGGCAGAGGCGAAGGACAGGAAGGACAGGGTGAGGTCAGAGGGTGAGGTCAGAGGGGAGGGCAGAGGTGAAGGACAGGGTGAGGGCAGAGGGTGAGGACAGAGGCGAAGGACAGGAAGGACAGGGTGAGGGCAGAGGGTGAGGACAGAGGCGAAGGACAGGAAGGACAGGGTGAGGGCAGAGGGTGAGGTCAGAGAGGACGGCAGAGGGGAGGACAGAAGGGAAGGACAGGGTGAAGGTGAGGGCAGACGGAGGACAGGGGTGAGGACTAACAGGCGGCTGACTGGAGTCTTACTATGAACTCTGAGGGTGAGGGCAGAGGTGAAGGACAGGGTGAGGGCAGAGGGTGAGGGCAGAGGCGAAGGACAGGAAGGACAGGGTGAGGGCAGAGGGTGAGGACAGAGGCGAAGGACAGGAAGGACAGGGTGAGGGCAGAGGGTGAGGTCAGAGAGGACGGCAGAGGGGAGGACAGAAGGGAAGGACAGGGTGAGGGTGAGGGCAGACGGGAGGACAGGGGTGAGGACTAACAGGCGGCTGACTGGAGTCTTACTATGAACTCTAGTCTTACGGTCTATGGAGTCTGCAAACACCTCTCCGTAGATCATCCAGTACGGCATGTAGAAGATGTTTCGGGCCAGACGCCATGTTGGCTCCTCGTCCGGGTGGAGGATAGCCTGCCGAGCTACGCCGAAACTCATCAACACCACCAGCATGATGACCACGAAGTACAGCATGTCGATCATCTGGACGACCATCAGACCAAAGGCGTTTTATATCACTGAGATTTATGAAACTTAAAAACAGTTTGTTTGTCTTTACAACAAATTTTAAATGTTTCACAGAGAAAAACAAACAGAAATAAATATTACAAAGTCCAGTGAGAAGAAACACGGAGCTGAAAACAAAAAATAAATTCTAAAAGTTGAACAGTTACTTTTATCAGTTATTATTTTGCTTTGCTCTGTAACACTGTGTTAGCCCAATGTGAACCTGAAGAGTAAAGTTAACTGTTTCATTAGTATCGATGTCATCTTGTGAAGGCGTACCATTTTTCCGATCATCATGACGTAGGGTCCCAGGTACTTGTTGACTCCGAAGATGTCGAGGACTCGGATGTACCAGAAGATGATGTCGACGCAGTAGATGACGCGTCCGTAGCCCATGGACGGCTCGCTCTGCAGCCGCAGCAGCAAACCCAGCAGGAAGACGGAGATGGCCGCCAGGTCGGTGATGTTCCAGTAATCCTCCAACCAAACGTTGATCTTCTGCTTCAGTTTCCCCGGCTCCGACATCAAGATCTGGCAGCAGGGGTACATTAAAATGAGTATTACCTCTACACAACAGTTTCGCTTCACCCTGTTTCACCACCCCACTATTCACAATGTTCATTTTTATCATGCAGCCCGCCCCACCGGCCTACATTCAACAATACAACATCAGTAATATCAAGGTGAAAGGTCACTAAGCGATGCAGGTGAACAGGTGAAGGGCAGAAAGTCTGATCACTTTAATAACTACAGACCCGTTGGCGTCAGTTTGTAATGCCCTGGGGGAAACCCTGTAGCGTCACTTTTGAACTCTAAAGGCAGGTGTAGGATGTTTAACACAAAAGTAAGTAAGGGGGTGGTTGGGTGGACAGGAAAAACTGGACTTTCACACAGGAGGCCGGTGTTCATTTCTCGTGTGGAACAAAAACTCAGAATTTAATGTTTTAATTTAAGTCACGTGGGTTACATAGATTAGCTAGGTTGTTGTTATTTTAACCTAAACCACAATCTTTTCCTGAACGTTTCACAACGTTAACCACTAGTTTTATTTTGAAAGTCTAACCGGATATTTATTCTTGCTAACTTGACCGTGGAGCCCTACATGTACAAAAACAAAGCTAAAGTGTACCCAGGGCGTCCATATGAGAAGCGTTGGGATGAGAACGTGTTGGGAGCAGAGCCCCAGGTGTGTTTCAGAGTTTACCTGTCGGACCTTCTCCAGTCCCAGAGTGATGATGTAAGAGATAACGATCCACTCCTGTAAAGACGGCCATCGCTCCATCTTCACCAGGATGATGTAGTTATACAACATCAGGTAAACCAGGTAGGAGATCTGTCGCACACACATTTAATTCTCAGGTCACATGTGTCCCTTTGACACGGTCAGTATCTTTATTATCATCTTCATTAAAAATCTATTGGTTGTGACCTTTTAGAAAGACAAGTAACAAAGCAGTTAAACTGAAGAAGCTAAATCTCATCATCAACGAACTTTAAGCGTTAAACCATCATGAGCTTCTATTTGTGAAAGAAACTTTAGATCAATATGCGGTTGATATAAATTATACACAGTATTTATATATTCTAAAACTTGCCGTGTTGAACCAAAACTTGGTGAAGGGAGTGTTGTAGAACTCGTAGATCTTCCTCCCGATGGGAGTCCTCCGGTGTTTCTTCTGCTCTTCTTCTTCGTCTCCTTTCTTCGACGTAGCGTCAATGTTGGAGACGGCGTCCTGAAACAAACTCTGAGTCACTCAGACTGCTCTGAACCAATGACCACTCTCTGCTCTGGCTGTTTGGTACCTTGCTGGATTTGTTGTCGTCTTTAGATCTGCTGTCGTCGTTCTCTTTGGACAAATGATTCGAGGCTTCATCTGCCAGACGAAAGTCCAGGAGGAGAATCGCAGGAGGAAAAACGATCCCTAAAATCACCTGGAGACAGGATGAGGACATAAGTATTATTATTATTACTGGTCAGTGGGTCAGCCATCGTCACTTCACTGGCTTCAAAGCTTCACCGCTCGACAGACAAGTTAGAACATGAGGAAAACCTGTGATGGCTTCTCAGACCTGGTCCCCAGCTTGTCTAAACGTGCATCAGTGTAGCTGCTGCCAGGTTATTTATTTATATATTTGGAAAAGCCAGTTTAACGTACTTGTTCTTACCAGGAAAAGCTTAACGGCGAGCCCTGAAGATTCACAGCAGTTCCCATTGAGTCAAACATCTGTTTCCACGATAACACAGCAGTTTATTCGTGTCAGATTTCTCAGCTGTGAGGCCAGCTGGACATTTTACTCCTCTATCTGTGTCAGCACTCGTGTGACCTTAATGGTAATATTTGTCAGCGGTGGGATGACAGGGTTTTCAGATGATCTGGAGTTTTGTTTTTGTTGCCAACTTGAAAAAAAAGAGCTTTTTGGGGGGGAGTGAAAGTAATATAGTGACGTAACGAGTTACTTTTATCACCCACTAATAAGTAAAGTAATGTTATTAAAGTATTGTTAAGGAGTAATTTATTACAATTTCAGAGTAACTTGCCCAACACTGTCTGTGAGTAAAATGTCTGGCGTGTTTAACTTCTCAGATGGTAAGACGATTTGTAAACTGACTTCTGTACAAATTAAGCTTAAGACTGACTGAACACAGCACCTGCTCCAGGTGAGACATTCAGATCACACCAGGTGGAGGCGGGGTCAGCGCTCGTCACCTGAACGTTTGTTTGTCTGATTTCACTGTTTTCAAAGATGCATTTAAATGTTTTCTCTCAGGTCCTGCAGGCTCCGGTCCAGATCCCACACAGACCGGAGACCTGGCAGTCCCTCAGGGAGTGCTGCTGGTACCTTGAGGCTGTTGCTCTTGCCCATCCTCAGGCAGCCCATCCACATGTCCGTTAGCAGCATCTGGCTGCAGGTGTGTGCGATGAAGTCTCGGTGTTTGGCTGCGACAGCCAGCTTCAGACAGGTGGAGTTGCTCCAGTTCTTCAGCTCGTAGGTCAGCAGCTTCATGGCCACCTGCTCGTCGTGTTTGTACGACTGATCCAGCAGCTCGTAGGCCAGCTGACCAAACTCCCTGCACACAAAACACACTCAGTCTACAGACACACCAGCGCCCCCCTCAGGCCATGACGGGCTCTGCACACCAGGGAACTTCAGGTGTTGTGACACTTTTGGTCTAAGCCCCCTGGGCTCTGGTTCTGTGGGACTCACTTGGAGTTGTTCTCCAGGTCCTGATAGATATCGTCCACCAGCTCGCTCTGGGACGACTCGTGGGCCATGGCCTTGTAGAGTTTACAGGCCACCAGAGCCTTGGCCATGGCCTCCTCGCCCCGCTGCCACAGGAACAGTGCCATTTTCTGGCGCTTCATCAGCACGGCCCACACCATCAGCTCGTGGAACGGGTACTGAAACCTGCTGACTTCGGGGTCATCCACGTCGATGTCCACCTCCTCCTCCTTCTTGTTCTTCTTTCCTTTACCCTTCGGACGGGGCTCGTCGTCCTGCAGGAACCACAGGTGCGAGTCCACGTGTCAGAGACTGAGACCACCATCAGCTCCATAATACAGTTTGTAAAATTAAAAATAAGAACAAACCTCCATCCCAAGAAGTTTCAGAGCTTTCGGCTGCAAAAGAAAAGACAACATGTTTGTTAGTCCAGAAACATACTGATGTTGGAGCCACAGGATATTTATGTTCCTCGTGTTTCAGGGAGCAGGACAGAGTCTAGTTAAAGGAGAAACTTCACACTGTGTTAAGAAAAGACATATTTGTTTATATTTGTGGGACGAGGATCAATAGCTTTCTGCTAATTCTTCCATGTGAAAATCTGACGGTGAGGCCTGAATGTAAGGAAGAGAATGTGCCTCCGTGCTGCCACCTGGTGGATCATCTCCAAACAGTTTGATTAATATTCACGTCAGAATGAAGCGCAGCAGAAATGTGTGAAGCAGACGTTGCTGCAGTGTCGACTCTCTTAGGGGGTTTGCTCACTCGTTTCAGTCCGTACAGGTTGTTGTAAAGCGCCCTGAAGCTCTTCCTGGTGTATTTGCAGCGGTAAGCTCCGCCCATCAGGAACTCCAGCACCAGGCCGATATCGATCAGAGTGATCTGGTAGTCTGGGGGGAGATTCCCCTGAAATACAAATGTTTTACACATCTTTTAAAGTAACGAACAGTTAAACTAAAGAAGATAAATCTCATCATCAACGAACTTTGAGTGTTAACCCATCGTGAGCTTCTATTTGTGAAAGAAACTTTAGATCAATATGCGGTTGATATAAATTATACACAGTATTTATATATTCTAAAACGTGCCGTGTCGAACCAGAACTTGGTGAAGGGAGTGTTGTAGAACTCGTAGATCTTGAACTCCAAGTCTCCACCTGCTGGCATGTAAAGCCGTCTCCTACCAGCGCTGTTCCAAAGACTACTATTCCTGTCATCATCAGGCATAGACCAGTAAACCAAAATGTGCACATCCCACACAGCAATATAAGTAATCTCTTAAGGATTAGGACAACTGCACCAACTCCAGCACCCAGAACAAACTCATTTAAAATGGCTCTCTTCAATGTGAGATCACTTTCAAGTAAGACTTTCATCTTAAATGATTTTATCTTGTCTGCAAATCTAGATTTTACGTTTTTAACTGATTCATGGTTGCAGATGAATGACTATAGCCAGCTAGCTGAACTGTGTCCGCCTCAATATGATTGTTTTAGTCAACCGAGGGTCAGTGGTCGTGGTGGTGGGCTAGTGAGCGTGTATAGGAAAAATTTAAAATGTCATCAAGTACGCTGTGATGAATTTAACTCCTTTGAAGTTCTCACTCTTAAAGTTGGAGGGCTGCAACCTATCATATTTGTTATAATTTATCGCCCCCCAAAACCGCCTGGAGGATTTTTATCAGAACTTCCTGAATTTTTATCTACTCTGATTTTAAATTATGACAGAATTGTTCTTTGTGGCGATTTTAATATTCATGTTGATGACACCAACAATGTTAATGCAACTGACTTTTAAATATGGCCACTTCTTTTAACTTCAAACAACATGTCAAAAGGCAAACACATAACCGTGGTCATACACTGGACTTGGTTTTTACCCTGGGTGTCAGCATTTCCTCTGTGGAATTAATGGACATGACCATATCTGACCACAGATGTATTGTTTTTAGCTGCGATTCTCCTGTTACTCATGCCGCCTCACCAAGCTCCGTGTGTTCTCGCTTCTTTAATGAACAAAGTGTTTCTTTCAGAGCCAAAGCCAACACTTGTCTTTTTCCAACACTAACAATCTGGTCGATCACTTCAATCATATCTGCTTGTTGTCACTAAATATTACTGCTCCTCTAAAGGTTAGGCCTACGTCTAAAGCTAGTAAGCAACCCTGGATAAATGACAGCATTCACAGCCTAAAAAGGGAATGCAGGAAAGCAGAGGGCAGATGGAAAAAATCCAGTATCCTCAGTCTGAAGGATTTATTAATTAACTACAATAACTTGGTTAAGGATGCGAGAACACATTATTTTTGTGAACTCATTACTACACATAAACACAATAAGACTGTGGATCAGCTGGTAAACCCAACCCCTCCTTGTGCCTCAGCTGGAAGTAATGATGACTGTGAATTGTTTTTATCTTATTTTACCAATAAGGTGGTGTCAATCAGAGCCTCTATTACCCCCGCGGCCTCTTACTCAGAGGTTCCTCACCAGCAACAAGAGAGTTTTAACCAGTTTTATCCCATCGACTTGTCTGAGCTTTTAAAAACAGTATCACAAATGAGAGTGTCCTCCAGCCCACTTGATTTTTTAAATTTTTACTGAAAGTAATAGATTCTGTTGGCCCCCATTTGATCTCTGTTGCAAGCTCCATATCTACTGGTTGTGTCCCTGATTATTTTAAAACGGCTTGCGTGAATCCACTTTTAAAGAAACCTGGTTTAGATCCCTCCCTCCCACATAATTTTAGACCAATTTCAAAACTGCCTTTTATAGCAAAGAATTTAGAAAGAATTGTGTCCAAACAGCTGCTCACTGTACTGGAAAATAACAAAATATTTTAAATGTTTCAGTCTGGTTTCAGGAAATACCACAGCACTGAGACTGCCCTGCTTAAAGTCACCAATGACCTTTTAATGTCTGCTGATGAAGGCATGTGCTCAGTCCTGGTACTCCTGGACCTTAGCGCTGCTTTTGACACCATTGATCACAACATCATGTTAGACAGACTGAGGCACTGGGTGGGGATCTCTGGTACTGCCCTAGAATGGTTTTCATCCTACCTGTCAAATAGGAAGTTTTGTGTGTCTGTAAACAACTATGTCTCCTCATTCTGTCCAGTTAAATATGGTGTGCCTCAGGGGTCGGTCTTAGGACCCATTTTGTTTTCCTTGTATCTGCTTCCCCTTTGACATATTATCCATAAACATGGCATTTCTTTTCATATTTATGCTGATGACACACAAATATACTTGCCCGTCAGATCCACAGACCCTGGAATGCTGAATTCACTTAACAACTGCCTTTGTGAAGTTAAAAAATGGATGTCAAATCATTTCCTCCAGCTGAACTCAGACAAAACAGAAATCCTGGTCATCGGGTCCCAGCAGATGGCAAAACAAATACTGCCATCTGCTGGTTCCCTAGTAAATCACATTAAGCCTGTTGCAAAGAACCTTGGTGTTTGGTTTGATAGTAATCTAAAGCTTAAAGGACTTTTAAGGACACCGAGACCATTTTACACGCCTTCATCTCATCACGCCTGGATTATTGCAACAGCCTTTTCACCTGTTTAACCCAAAAATCTACTGATCGACTCCAGACTGTCCAGAACTCAGCTGCCAGGCTTTTAACCAGAACAAAGAAATATGACCACATTACTCCTATTTTAGCTTCATTACACTGGCTCCCAGTATGTTTTAGAATTGACTTTAAAATTCTATTGATCAGTTTTAAAGCTCTTCATTGTCATGCTCTGCCGGTTGGCCATCTTTTGTGTTGCACTTTTGTGTTTAGTTAGTGTTATTTTGGTCTGTTGGGTTTTGGGGGTCTGTCTTGTCTTTCGTCTAGTGTTCAGTCACCCTTGTCATGTCTGTTACCCCAGTGATCCCTCTGCATGTCTGTCTCTGTTTTCCCCTGCTCTCTCTCTCTCTCTCTCTCTCTCCCTATCTGTGTCTCGTTAGCCTCATGTCTTTCACCTGTGTTGCTCCCGCCCTGCTCGTTAGTCCCTGTGTATATATACCTGGTGTTTCTGTCTTGTCTTTGTCCGGTCATTGTTCATGTTACCCCCCAGTCTGTCGTGTGTGTACTCTCTGCCTGCCTGTAACCAGCCTTGCTTGTCTTGTCTTGTCTTGTCTTGTCTCCCTGTACTTTTGGATTTTGGATTTCTGTTATTCAGCCACTCACCTGTAAGTGTGCTCGCTTAATTAAAACCCTTCGTTGAACTATACCTGCTCCGCTCTGTGTCCTGTGTTTGGGTCCTCCAACCTGCCTCCACACCACGACTGTGACATTCATGGCCTTTCGCCTTGTTATATTTCTGACCTTTTAGTCCCATACGCACCAGCACGTACCTTGAGATCCTCAGGCAGAGGTCTGTTGTCTGTTCCAGAGTCTTGACTGAAAACTAAAGGGGACAGAGCGTTTGCTGTCAGGGCCCCGAGGCTCTGGAACAGCCTGCCCGAGGAAATCAGGTCGGCTGAGTCAGTGAACTCTTTTAAGTCCCTTGTTAAAACATACTTTTATAGGAGAGCCTTTCCCGATCTTATTTGACTTTATTTTATCTTTTATTTTATTCTATTTTAATTATTTTATATTTATCTTAAACGTGTATTTTAGTCTTTTCAATGTTTTCATGCTTTTATCTTGTATTGTTTTTGTATTATTGTCTTTTGGGTATTATTGTCTTTACACTTGTTAAAGAACTTTGTAACTTGTTTTTGAAAAGTGCTCTACAAATAAAGATTATTATTATTATTATTATTACTGATCAGCTCTCACGTTTAGTTATGTACTCCTCACCTGCCCCCCGCCCCATCCCCCACCTGTTTAAAAACACCAAACTGACCTTTTTCACGTCTCTGACCACAAAGTGCAGCGTGTTGGCCGGGCCCAACTTCTACAAACAAAACAGGAAACAAACAGGAAACTGATGAAAAGAAAAAAAACTGCAAATAATACCACAACATTAATAATGTTTGTTCAGTTCCATATTTAGCAGGATAATGTCAGGTTTACGTTCCACCTGATCACTTCTGTTTATCGTGTTTCTTCTGCTGATGATCAGCACGAGATATTGAATTATGACCTGGTCCTATAACCTGTCCTCAGCGAATTACATAAGTCAGTAACACACTTTAACTTAAAACTAAATAACCCGGCACTGACTCAGTTTCAAACGGGACTTGAATGCCGGGTTCCTGGGTTTGACCCAACCATCACCTTAGGTGGACTTTCTCGCTCTTTATATAACGTCACTTGACTTCCTCATGGGCTCACACGGCCTCTAGATGTCGCTGCCACAATAAACGTAAATGTGGGTGGTAATAAGCTGCGTGAGGACGGTCTGACTTAATGGGGTTATTCATTATGTGTTATTGATTATTGATATTAACATGACATTAAAGGCAGCGTGACGTGCAGCTGTTAGCAGGTGATTACAGACACGTCTTATCTAATTGGACTTGTTTGACTCGAACGTTATAAAAACTGCAGAGAGCTTCACTTCCATCTGACAGTACCTGACGCGCTGCTGAAAGAGCTTTTTATGAGCGAAGCAGATAAAGATTAGAGACGCAACACAAGAGGAAGTGGATCACTGATGGACGTTAAGCTGCAGATAAACGTGACAATATATAGACATCAGAGCAGAAAGCTTTTGTTCAGAACGAGAAGAGAAACATTGGTATGCCACACCTCCCAGTCCCCACACACCAGACAACATTTATCTAACATAGAAATGAAATAATAGGGACCTAATCTCAGGCAAGAGAAAGTGCGTCCTCGCTGCTGCTGTGCAGTGTTTAAATAAATAAAAATAAAAATAAAGTTTGTTCTGCTGCAGAGGAGTGCAGTGTCTCACCGTGTTGTACAGCTCCTCCAGACGAGGGATAGTCAGGAAGTGATGGATGTTGACGCCGTTCTCAATCAGAAGCTTGACAAAGTCCACCCTGTCCAACACCAGAGCGTCCATCATAGCCTGTTCCAGAGAGTTCACCTGTCGCAGCGTTTGATTAAGGTTAGCTACTGAATAAGGCTTTGGTTACCATTAGCTAATGGTTCAGTTGAACAGTGAAAACTGTGTCTCAGGTTTGCTAACATGTTCATTTCTTTGCCAGTCCAACAGGTTGTCAGTAAGTTACAAGCTCCAAAAGAAAGAGCAAGAAAGAAGGTGTTTCTGCGTCTTTACTACTGATAATGTCTAATAACTAAAATGTATGATTGTAATGATGTTCAGTAACATGCCATTTATCCATCTAGCTGCAAGGTGCTGAACTTTACTGAAAGTGATCGCCGGAACATGAGTAGCAGAAGCTAGCTGTTCATCATAACAAAGTCTGACCACTGAAAAGAAATGGACATTACAATGATGAAAGCATCCTGTTCACTGTGTTCTGTCTACTACCATGTGATTTTGTGGTTTTCGTTTATCCTGTTAGTGGTTATCATGGATCATAAGGTCTGTTGTATTCCAATCTCTTACCCAGTTGAGCAGCTCCAGTTTCCGGGGGTCGGTCTCCTCGGGGGGTTCAGGTTTGGTTTTGCCTCCTTTTCCTTTCTTCCCCCTTGCTTTCCCTTTCCCTGCTCCTCCTCCTCCTGGTGCTGTTGCTCGCTGAGCTGCCGGACTTTTAGGCCTGTCGGTGGGTGAAGCGCTCACCGGCTGCAGAAACACCATCAAACAGTCGGTGGCAGAAATAACTAGACTGTTCCAACAGTTCAAAGACTTTTGCGATCGAGTCTCTTTCTTGGCTTCTTATTTCCTTCTACTCCTACTTTTATTTATTATTTCATCATCTGTTCTTGCAACTAGGAGGAGAGTTAGGAAGGAGAAGTCGAGGCAGACTGACTGACTTCTGCAGAAACTTTTAGGGGTCTATGATCATAGTGTTTAGGGTTCAAACATGGTGGCAGCAAATCCAGCCTCCATGTTGGCCCCAGCAGGGTCAAGACAGAGACAGATGGACCTGTATCCATCTATGAACTCACAGGCCAGTGGAGTCCATACACAAAGATCTGACTGCGAGCGATGTCCACTCGGTTCCAGGCCAGAGCCAGACTCAGTTGATCGGACGCTGACGCATTTGTACCTGTAATCACATGAACAAAGTGTCATCAATCGCTGAAGGAGTTCAACCGTATACCAACAGGAAGCGTTATGAGAGCGATGTTCAGTTACCTTTGAGCAGAGCTGTGAGGATGGACATCTCAATGTCCTGCTGTCCCTCTGAGCCCATCCTGAACACTGTGATCTGCACACACAAATATACTGTATATTACGATATAATCCTCTGAAAATACACGAGCAGCAGGTTCAACTGTGAAACACAGAGAAGGAAGAAAGAATGAGGAAAGTAACTCCATGTTGTTTCTGACAGCTGACCTGTTTTATCGTCGTATCAAGATCAAGATAACCTTTATTGTCTCCTGGGGGAGATTTGTCTTTAGGCTACAGTAACAAACGATAACAACACATGGACTTCGCAGTTGCAGACATGATACAGTCTGTTCTATACATTTACACTGCATGAGTATATGAGGCTCTATCAGTAACTGATGACTGAAGGAACCCAGCAGGAACCCAGCAGGAGGAACTCCCATCAACATGTGGACAAACAGAACAGAGGTGGAAGAGAAGACAGGACTAAGTGATGGCACTCCCTGCACGGTGAGAGCACAGAGCATGAACAACACTGCAGACTGCTTGGTTCTGGATCCAGCGCTGGTTTGTTCCTCATGAGAGAAACATCTGAACCTGCAGCAGCAACAAACCAAACCAGTGAACAGATGTGATTTTATTAAAATGCATGGGACTGTCTGCTGCTGCAGAGGATTGTGGGATTAAATAAATGGACACAGAACAATCTCCATTAAGTGCTGCAGTTTTGGGTCAAAGGTAAAACCTTTGTCATCATGTTAATATCTCACAGGAACGCACGGAACACATGGGAAGAACACATGAAAAGAACACACGAAAAGAACACACGTGAAGAACACGCAGAAGGACACTGTCCTGGCCTCTACGAGCAGTGCTCGGGACAAATGTGTCCTACAATGAATGTTCATAAAACTAAAGTCAATCTGGTCTGAGCTTGATGAATTTGATCTATGAAGGCGATATTTGAAGGGAAGGAGGTTTGAGACTTAGCGGCTGGTGGTGTTTATGAACCCATGCAGCATTATTTCAAGCTGTACGCAACACAGGCAGAACTCATCGGGAGGTCAATCCTTAGGGAAGACGTTCTGGGGGAAGCACACAGGGCTTCTTTCCATTAGTAAAGATGGGTGCTGATACCTGTGTCCCGCATGAAAGCAGACTCTGTTTGCTTCTGGCTTCAGAGGCCTAGGTTCGATTTGAAATCAAATCATTAAAGAAGGTGAGAACACTTGAAAATGAGTTTTCACTCCCAAGTCGTGAAATTACCAAACACTGACGTATAAAAATAAGAAGTGTGAAACCTTTGATGCTGCTGCAGTGTTCACTGAATGTTTCAATACATGTTTGAATGCTGCTCTGTTAGTATGGAGAATCAGCAGGAGTTAAAAACAAACCACCAAAAGTGAAACATAAAAGGCCAAAGTCAGAAGGTCACTGATTTCAAGACACCGTATCAGTCAACGTTCTGTCCACGTAGGCCGTCTGGAATCATCGCCAGACTGGAGTGAATGGACAGATGCTGTGTGGCCAGATGAAGGTGAAGAGACAAAACTAACGTGCAGCTGGTTGAGCTGAGTTCCAGCTCTGAGTTCAGGTTCTGTTCAGACTCTCAGCTCTGAGTTCGGGTTCTGTTCAGACTCTCAGCTCTGAGTTCAGGTTCTGTTTAGACTTCCAGCTCTGAGTTTAGGTTTGACAAAGATCCAGGTCTGGGTTCATGCAGAATCAGTCTGTAGTTGTTGGGATTTGGTTTTGTGTTCATGTTGTTCCTATATTACATCTGTTTTCATGGTTTGGGGTTTTGTGTTTCTTCTGTGCCACCTTGTTTATTTTTAGGTTTAGTTGCATGGTTAGTCTTTACCTGTTCTGTCTCTTTCCTTTTCTCATCTTAGTTCTTAGTTTATGTCTTAGTGCTTAGTCCTGGTTCTGTGTTTGGTTCTGTGTCTTAGTTCCTAGATCTGGTTTGGAGTTTATTGTTTCCCATTTAGATGTTTCATGTGTTCTGTTGTGCAGTTGTTCCCTGTTTTCTGTTTTACTTTGGTAACTCTGTCCTTGTGTGTTCCCAAATGCTTTACTTCACGTTTTATTTTGTGGTGATCAGTTTTGATGTGTCCTTGTCTAGCTTTGTTTGATGTTTGATTACCCAACACATTCTCATCTCTACGCGTCATAACTGACACTTATGTGTTTCCTCTGTTCTTCCCGCCCTGCTCGTGACCTGGTGTTTAAATGTCTGCTTGTTCTGTTCAGTCTTTGTTGCGTCCTCGTCTATGTTGAGTGTTCTGGTCTTGCCACTGTACATTGGATTACTCTGCCCGTGGTCTGGATTATATATGCTTGTTGGATTTACCTCAGTTTGGACTTTGCCTTTAGCTCCAACGTAAGCCTGTTTTTCTGATTTAATAAACCCTTTTTTTTCAGCCACATCCTGCCATTGTCTGCATTTTGGGTCCACACTACAGTTTACCTGGAACTGCACTCAGCCTTACCCATGACAGCAGTGCCTTGAGACACGACGCATCTGTTAATGTTTAACTGAAACCATCTTTACTGTCTGAACAGACAGACTCAGGACGTTGACTCTGGAGTTAAAGTCTGAAACTTTTTATGTCCACCCCGACCTCTGACGTCTCGCTTCATTTACTAAAAACAGTTTCCTGAACAGAATCCAGGCATAAATTATGTCTTTCATTTGTGATAAAATGATATTAATACAGAAATGTGATGCAGACAGAGGTGGTTCATGATATCACTTCAGTGTGGAAGATGAGTAAAGACACACAGGACAAGTTATGAATGAACACGAGTGTTTTATTGTTGCACTGATGGAAAGTGAATCTGAATGAGCATAAAGTAGGACTCTGTCAGGATACCTACCAGAGCCCTCTTCTTCATGCACTCCATCACCATGAGGAAAATCTGCTGCGCCTGTCTGCGGCTGTAGTTGAAGGTTTTCTGGATGGTGACTAGCAGCTGATCTCTGACGCTGTCACTCACCAACCTGTGCAGAGAAACACACAACTGTCATGTGAGGCTGTCGAGGTGGAGCACTGACTGCCGGAATCCAAACTGTGTTCCTTAACCTGCAACGATGCCGAGACAGCTACACAAACCTGCAGAAGAGTCCACGGTCTGTGTGTGCTGCTGCTGATCTTCCTCCAGTTAGTTGCTAGCTGTTAGCTGAGTCTTAGCTCTCCAAAAGCATAATGGGAATTGTACATATTGATTGCAAACTAAATAATCATTATCTATCTCTGAACCTCTGCAGAGCTAACATGGACGCTGCATACGTCACTGCGGACCTCCACCTCATGGCATACTTCTTACTCCAGACCAAGCGTCTTTCAGTGTCAGTTCTCTATAATGATTAAGTCTCTTTCAGGGTCTGAACCCTGTCTTTCTGTGTGAACCGGTTTTGAACTGGGCCTGTTCTGACTGACTTGGAGCCAGCGGGCCTCCGACAGCAGAATGAGAATGAACCAGGTGATCTGTGTTCGTTATGTTTCTGCTCATACTTACATTTTGTGTTTGTCTAAAGAGTTTTTAAACACCCACGACACACCTTCAGGATCTGCTTCGTCTCAGAGTCACTTGTTATCCTGGCGGATGTTACTCACCCATCTTGCCCACAGTATCTGTGTGCAAAGGAAATGATGTCAGAAGCGCGACCGCTGCCGTCACAGATGACGACAGGGACGGGAGGCTCCTCCTTCAGACTCTCCAACACAATGGAGATGATGTTAGGACCCCCCTCCAGGATCAGACACACTGCAGGGACACCCTGACCCAGACCTGACACACAGAAAGCACACTTACAGCAGGAGACTCTCAATGGACTGCTACGACCTGTGAGGCCAGGATCATGTGATGGTATACATTTAGTCTAAATTGGAAGTTAAATGTTGTCATCTGGTGTTTGTGTCAAACCAGCTACGAGCTAGCCCACTTGCTAACTAGTGAGCTCACAGGCTCGCTCTTCATCGTGTTTTTGGAAGTTATTTAATGACATAACAAATATGGATGCACAAGATGCTAGGCTAATTCCAGCTGCAGTAACACAAGTCAGACATTTTGCACACTGTTCCTAGTCTTCATGCTAAGCTAGGCTAACAGTTTCCCCACTGTTGTCTATGTCCTGGACACACAGAGACTGAATCTTCTGACTCAGTTTGGTTTGGTTTTCAGTCCCTGTGAGGACATTTAGTTCTACAGAACGAGCACGGCCGGGCTATGTTGGTGTCGGTTCAGTTCTTCTCTGTGGTGGAAGTGAGGGGTGACGGCTGAGCTTCCCTTTGCTCTCCCTGCCTTACAGACAGCTCCAGGCATAGGATGACAAAGGGAAACCCACAGGTCACATGAAGGTCCAAACTCTCTGCAAGCAGCAGCAGTTTCTGCTCAGCCGCTCTGATCCATCACTCTGGATCGGACATTGTTGTGTTGCAAATGACACAAAAGACACTTTGAAATCTGCACCTTGTCTGCATTTCATGTTTTCAGACTTTCTAAAATCAATCAGGAAATGCCAGAAGACAGATTTGGTCTGGACAAGACCTCTGAATGCTCCCCTAGCATTGGTTGTTGGAGTGGGTCACATGTCACAGGCGTGTGACTCACGTGTGTTGATCTTCTGTAGAGCGATGTGTTTCTCCAGCTGCCGGCGGAGTCGGACCTCGGCGCCATACTTCCCGTTGGTCCCGTTATCGGCCAGGATGAAGTGGGAGTGGCTGCTGTTCAGCACTGACAGCTTGCTGAGCGGGTTGGACATGGTCTGATAGGGCCGGGTCACCTAGAACACATAGACATGATTGGTCCAGTCAGAGGTGGGAGGAATCACAAATGAGTCAAGTCAAGACAGAAAATGTTTTTATATTACTCTCACTACTGATAATAATAATAATCTTTCAGCACTTTATAAAACAAAGTGATAGAAATCTTCATGTGTTTTAACCAGAAACACAGCAAAAAAAAAACGGACTATTAAAATAATACAAAAATAAACTGAATAAAATACCAACAATGTTATAAAAACAATGAAATAAAACTGCATGCTAGCATAAGCATTAGCTTTTTCAGCTATGGTCTTACGTCTCTGCCGATGAGGTCCTCCTTGTTCTCGATGATGCCCCATGGGGCGATGCCGATAGCGCAGACTTTTCCTCTGGACTTTGAAGAATGATCTTTCAGGGCGTCGCCGACATGGCGGATCACTCCTGAAACACCATGAGGACAAGCACTTAGAGGGTGGACGTTTCTAAAGATAGATACAGTTGGTCGTCATGTGAAATTCATACTCAGATTGGATTTTGTAGCTAAGTAAAACCCGGTCTGTTACCGGGCGTGTCATACCGGTGCTGACTCCCCCGGTGAAGATCCAGGCTCCGGTGGTCACTGCTGCTTTGATCAGTCCCTTCCCAAAAACCTGCTTCAGTTTTGGAGGCAGGTCGAAGTTCTGAAGGCCTCCGTGGACGGAGATCAGCAACGTGGGAAGCTCCAACTGCCAGTCCTTCACCATCAGGTGCAGCAGGTGGTCCGGTTTGGAGTCGTAGGAGACCCGGATATACTGCAGGTGTGGGGGGGTGTTAGTTTGTGTTGTTGATAGTGTTTGACAGAAACATGACATAATGAATGACATTAAATATTAAAGCGCACCATGCCTTGTTGATGTGTCCTCCTCCCTGAAACTCGATGACTCCGTAGGCGTCGGTGGGAAAGGTCTGGGTGTGTTTCGGTGCGCTCCATCTCTCTGCTGGTTGGACCTCCAGCTGGACCGAAGGGGCCCCCTCCTCTCTGGCCCCCGGAGGGACAAAGGTGTGCTGCGTCACCACCTGACCACAACTGCACCTGAACAACAGCAGCACAACAGGTTTGTACTCAGACCAGAAGACAGTTAAAGGACTCAGACTTCTGGAGACATTCTGAAGTGTTGGGAATTCTACGCGTCGTTTAACTCAGGTAATAAATATTCTCAGTAACATGGAAGACAGAAAGTCCTGGTCTTCAGGTCCTTTGAGGTCCGCTTGCTGCAATCAGCAGCATTTAGAAATGAAAGCAGCACTTGGTGATAGAAAGGTGTGTCAGTACCTGCTGGGGTCTTTGCTGGGAATAATCTGGACACATTCTCTCTTCTGGAATGTCCTCTCGATCCACGCTCTCTGAATCTGAAACAGGAAGTAAACATCAGCTAGTCTGATGCTGCTGTTTCTTTCTTTACACTCACAAACACACAAACTCTAACTTGTCTGTAAAAACTTTCTTCCTGCCGACTCACCTGGAACTAATGAACATGAGTTAGCTTCATTAAAAATCTGTCGCAGAACAACAGGGACAGTAAAGTCAGTTGTTAGATAACAAACGGGAGGTGAGAGAACATTTGTGTAAATGTGGATCCTCTTTGTGAGCGATGGAAACTCTCCTAATCTTAAACCACTGAATGATGTTCACAACAAACACACTGAAGCCAATCAGATCCTGGAACAGACGGACTGATATTCTGTGGATTAATTAATTCATAAAGAAAGAAAGAAAAAAGGAAGTAAATAAACTCCCTGAGGAGCTTTAATGAGAGAAGTCAATCATGGCCGTTAATTTATATGCAGCTGCAGATTAAACCTCCACAAAGAGCTGAAACATCAAACTGTTCGTGTCTGAATGAATCTGGCTAATTACTGGCAGAGTGGAGCTTTCCATTTCTGTATGCATCAAATCCTCTGATCCTCCCGTCCTAATCCTGTTGCTGAAACACAGACGCGTCCTTTGAATCTGCTTCCTGTCTGTTTAAGTCCATACCGCGCTAATGCCTCTGTGTGTGAGTTATTGTGTGATTGTGTGTTCTTGCGTGTGTCTGTAATTCACTGGAGCACTTTGTAAAATTTGCGCACTCTGGATGATGGAGGATTAACATCTGAACGTCACATGAGCTTACTTGTATTGTCTTTTTCACGTGAACGATGAACCACCACCATCCTCCTCCTCCTGTCTGTCACTCGATGCCCTCCCACCAGCTCTCCACTGAAAACCTGATTAATAATTCATCATAACATTGGTGAACTTTAAGAGCTGAGCTCTGACTGGATGTAGAGACACAAAGTCCAACATGGAGGAAGCTATTGCAGCTTATTATCTGTGTAGCTAACATCCAGGTTCACTTGAGCTGCCCTATCAGAGTGGAAGCTGCTGGTTTACTCTCAGGCAGGAGGACGTCATGCTGAAGACAAGCTAGCAAGCTAACAGATAGCTTCTTTAATTTCTCTGTTCCTCTTCCTGGTGAGATCAGAAAAACAGTGATTTCCTTCATACTAACAGCTGCATAGGATCCTTTACTTTAGAGTAGTGTTTCTCAATGGGGGCAGTACCCCCCCCCCCAGGAGGCATTCTGAGGACAATGGGAACCACTGCTCTAGAGGTATTAGTACACACTGTATACTATCACTGTGAATTAGGGACACAGTTTGTTTTGATATTATAAAAGCTGAGTGGGTAAAGATATGAAGGAAATAATGAAGCTCAGACTCATTTAGTAGAAACGAGTGTCAGAGTCAGAATGAAGCAGTTTAGGTCTGTTTTTAAAGTTTTTTAGACTTCAGCAGAGACAAAACTACTTTAGTTATTGTGAGTCAAAAACGTTCTGGACATCAAACTTTCAGACTCCACTTTCACAACAAGCAGCAGAAGAAGAATCAGAAAGCTGTGTGACCCCCCTCGTCTCTACCTGAACCTCCAGACGTGTCACTACAGGGACCCGACTCCTCTCTGAGGACCTGGCTTCTCTCTGAGGGCCCGGCTTCCCTCTGAGGACCTGACTGCTCTCTGAGGACCCAACTGCTCTCTGAGGACCCGAATGCTCCCTGAGGACCCGGCTGCTCTCTGAGAGCCCGGCTGCTCTCTGAGGACCCAGGTGCTCTCTGACGACCCGGCTGCTCTCTGAGGGCCCGGCTGCTCTCTGACGACCAAGCTGCTCTCTGAGGGGCCGGCTGCTCTCCTGAGCTCTCTGAGGCTCTTCTAAGACCCAGTGGCTCTCTGAGGCTCTCCGGAACCCAGCTGCTTGCTCTCCCTGGCTCAGTCTGGATCAGAGCAGCTCAGGAGTGAAGAAAGGAGTTGACTTTATGCAGCTGAGCGGGTTCATATGACGAGCATGTGAGGCAGCAGAGCTCTTTGTTGGATCCGGTCTCATGACTCTGCTGTGAGGTAATCCTTCTGGGAGTCTTATGACCCGTCGAGCTTTAGGAATTGTTGGGTTTCTGCAAATAACATCACAGAGTACGGTCTAGACCTGCTCTTTTATCATAAGCGCTATGAGATAACTGTTGTTGTGATTTGGCTCCATATAAATAAAATTGAATTAAATTGAGCTTCAACACAAGTATTTTCGTCGAGTGATGGAGCCTCACAAAATCCCCACAAACCAAACCTCCAGCAGCTGAGCTCTTCATTCTGTTTTCTGTCCATCTTCTCTCCAGTTCATACGTTCGCAGCTTCTTAATTTTTATTGATTGACGTTCTACTCTTCCTTCACCACATTTCACAGAGAAATCAATCAGATCCATTCTAAAGAATTTAGAAAACTGACATCATGAGGACCCCACCCAGCAAAGGCATTTTGAATTAGCCACCAACCAAACTCCGTAACATTAAATATTTTAAATATTTTTTAAAAAGTTTCACATTTTAACTCTTCAGGAATTTTAAATGTTGTTTAAGTGAATTATCCGTAATTTTGGTGAAGAACAATAACTTACTTTTATTTTAGTTTTTAACTGTCCTGATAACCTGACTCCTTCCATCTGTCACAGTTTATCTGAAAGTAACAAATATTTAATCTATAAAATGACAGAAAAGTCTCTCCAAAATGTCAACTTTTATGAACTTTTTTAGTTGGGACACAGCGTTTTAGAGAATCTCCTCCAACTGAACAGGTCTCCCTTTGTCTCCCATCTTTCCTTTTCATTCAGGTTTATTTAATTTTTCCAGACCGCTTTCATTCCGGACCCTGATCAGCATCTCAAAGTTTAATTCTCTCAAGTAGTTTAATTTGGTCCAGAGTTCTCAAGCACATAAAATGATCAACCGTTAACATTGTTATATTGCGTAATACCACCATGAAGGTAGAAGCAAAGCTTGCAGCCAGACTGCTCTCTGAAACACGTGTGGGGATGGCGGGGAACAGCAGAAATGCAGTTTAAAGCAAATAAAATCTTTTTACGATCTGAAATAAAAGTTCTTTATGTACTTCCTGCATAGTCAGAGGAAAAAAGCTAAGTGGAAGACCACCACTCAGAGAAATGAAGGGGGTTCACACCATGTCAGCGTGAACTGTGTTTTTATAAAAGAGTGACGGATTAAAGAACAGCAGCTGAACTCAGAACAATGAACAGAGAGCGGGGGTGGGGGGGCAGGATTTGGATTATCAGGGTTTAAATGAGATTAATGTTGTTCACAACAACATGTTTGCATAATGAGCTGTTACATTACTGTTTTTACAGAGACAGGAAGTGGACCATTACTATCACATTTCTGCCAACAACTGGACCCAGTTTGGGTCAATACTGCTTTAACTTTATCCAGAACCAGCGGGTACACAACCAGTATTTTCCTACTAAACCCAGATTTTGGTTTAGAGTTTGGGTAAAAACCCAACAGTAACGTTCAAAACTGCACATTGGTAAAATCAGTCTAAAGTTAAACCAGTCTAAAGCTCAACCAGTCTAAAGGTAAACCAGTCTAAAATTGAACCAGTCTGAAGTTAAACCAGTCTTAAGTTATACCAGTCTAAAGTTGAACCAGTCTACAGTTAGACCAGTCTGAAATTGAACCAGTCTAAAGTTGAACCAGTCTAAAGTTAAACCAGTCTAAGGTTAAACCAGTCTAAAGTTGAACCAGTCTAAAGTTGGACTCTTCAGAAATTTCCAACCTCCAACTAGCCAAAGTATCATGGAACGCCACTTGAGTTCCTACTTGTGAACCCTGACTTCATGAGAAGTAAATGAAACAAGAATGGTCAACACATTCTCATCTCAATGCGTCATAACTGATGCTTTCAGACAGCATGACAAAGCGTAAAGATTTTACGCTAAAGGTACCCTTCAGCGTCCGTATGAAATGCCCTCGTTTGCGAAGTTGCAGCAACACAAGGGAGGATAACCCTACCTGTTCGCGCAGCTGTATGGTTAGCTGGTCGACATGTATAAAGTCAGTGACTTAGGTTTAGGTACTAACATTTCTGATGGTTGTGATAAGGGTAGGGGCTTCGGGGGGCTGGCAACACCTAGCTAGCTGTTCTACATGTTACAATGATGTTGTAATGATGTACAATGATGTTATTAGGTGGCTGGTTACAGTAAAGTATCTGTGAAAGTTATCTTCTCTGCACAGAAGTTATTCAAAAGTAAAATGTTAAAAACGCTAAAATATTTGAAAACATTAAGAAGTAACTACAGCCTATTACATTTACTTTGAGGATTAGCCCACCAACTGATGTAACTAGAGAGGTTCATAATTAGGCGGTTACAACAGGTAACATAAAGGCTATTTATGTCATGTTTTCATTAAAACGACACAAAGGGCACTGCTGTATGGGTATTGGGTCAGAATTAAAACTGAAAGTTTAATACTATAAGTCAATAAGTATTTAGGATTGGGCGTTTAGTATTTAGGATTGGGCATTTGGTATTAAGGATTGGGCATTTGGTATTTAGGATTGGGCATTTAGTTGTTTTTTTTTATAGAACTTTATTTTTCGTTATTTTAAAATAACAACATGTACAAGACATGAAAGAACAAACATTCCCAAGCCTGGCAATTCTAACAATAGTCACAGTACATACACAATAAAAAAAATTAAAAATGAATGAATGAATTAATTAATTAAAATAAAATAAATAGAAAGGCAGGAAGAAATATGTAAATTTGATGGTCACACAAAAAATAAAGTACATAAAAATAAATTTTAAAAAGCCAGAACATATCGAGGAGTGATGCAGGGGCTCGCCTACATCTATCACAAGTAGGGCCCATATCCGGTTTAACCTTTGCTAGTCTGACCTTAGTCCAATAAATACATAATGTACAAATTTGAACTGTATGAGGTTATGACGAGCACATATAGAAGAGGAGTTAATCCTACTTAGAACTTTTTCCATTCCCCATCTTTAAACTTATAGTCCAAATCGTCCTCCCAGTTTTGTCTCGTGTTCTCTACAGAAGAGAGTCCAGTAATGAGGTCATAACGTGCAGACACAGACTCCGTTATCGTTGATATTCATTTCTAGAATAGTGTCAAGGGGCATTTGGGGCGGGAGTCTTGGGAAATGTGAAGAAGTTTTACTGACGAAGTCTCAAATCTGAAAAAAACTAAAAAGATGGGTCTTAGGGAGGTTAAATTTTGAATACAACTGTGAGAAGGAGGCAAACACTCCATCAACAAATAGATCCTTAATTGTTATAAGTCCCTTCTTAGACCGGATCTCAAAGACATTGTCATTCAATGATGGGGTAAATGCTGGGTTTCTATTACAAGGGGAGAACAACGGGGAGTATTGGAACCCAAAGTGGGATCTGAACTGTTTCCAGCTGCGTAGAGACTGATTGACTATCAGGTTATAGTTTGAATGTTTAGGAATCAAAGTTAGTAGGGAGCAAAGAAGAGCAGTCACGTATGCTGGCTGTGGATGAAAGAATTCAATTCAATTCAATTCAATTTTATTTATATAGCGCCAAATCACAACAACAGTTATCTCACAGCGCTTTTCATAAAAGAGCAGGTCTAGACCGTACTCTGTGATGTTATTTACAGAAGCCCAACAGTTCCCACCAAGAGCAAGCACTAGGCGACAGAGGCAAGGAAAAACTTCCTTTTAAGAGGCAGAAACCTCGAGCAGAACCATGGCTCAGGGTGGGCGGCCATCTGCCTCGACCGGTTGGGGTGTGAGAGAGAGAGAGAGAGAGAGAGAGAGAGAGATGTAAGGAGAGAGAGATGTAAGGAGTGGTTGCATAAAAAGCCAAAACTGGGATGACGCAGTACATGAAGGCAAAACCGATAAAGTGGGGATTCAAGGTGTTTGTCTAGGCAGACTCACGGAATGGCTATACAGTAGACTTTTCCGTTTACACTGGCAAAAGTGACATCCCCTCTGGACATGGCCTTTCCTATGATGTTGTGATGTCCCTGGTACAAGTAGGTTATCTTGGCACGGGCTACCACATTTACATGGACAATTTTTATTCTAGCCCCAAGCTCTTCAGGGCTCTCCATGAGCAAAAATTTGCTGCCTGTGGGACCTACAGGGAGAACCGCAAGGACTGCCCTCGGACAACAAATAACGCCCTCACAAAGAAATCAGAAAGAGGCTCCATAAGATGGATCCGGGACGGCCCCCTCATCTATGTGAAATGGATGGACACGAGGGAAGTATCAGTCTGCTCCACGCTTCATACAGCACACTCTGGAAATGCTGTGCACAGGAGGGTGAAACAACAATATGGCTCTTGGACAAAGACATCAATCCCCTGTCCCACACCGGTTATGGAGTACAATGAACACATGGGGGGAGTTGATCTTTCAGACCAGTTCATTCAGTATTGCTCTGCACAACACAAAACAATGCGCTGGTACAGACACCTGTTTTACCATTTTCTGGACATTGCCACCACCAACAGCTACATCCTCCACAAGGAACTCTGTCTGGCTCAGCAAACAACACCCATGACACACAGAGCTTTCATGGAAGAGTTGACTGCTGAACTCCGTGGTAAGCCTCTCCACACTGCTCCGGCCCTTGTACCTGCAGGTCATATTCCTGTGCCAATTGCTGTTCACGCAGTGCGTGCCAAACTTTTTGATACA